GTAAATTAAAAATTACCTTAAATATTAAGTATATAACCCCTTAAATAATTAAAAAAATACTAAACCCTTAGTTTTTATATTTATTAAAATCTTTTTAAACCTTTTTAGTAAATAACTTTCTTCCTTAGGCTTAAAAAATAAATATATATATTAAATAAAAGTATATAATTATATTATTATTAATATTTACTAAAGGGCTTTAGTAAACTTAATTATAAAAACTTTTATTAAATAAGGCCCTCCCCTCCTTTACTTAATTATTATAAGTAACTTTAATACTTTATACTAACTTTAAAAACTAAGTAAAAACGTAAACCCAGTAAGTAATAAAATTATAAAATAAATAAAAAAATATAATCTCCTCTTAGCTTTAATAAATACACCTACCTAATACTTAGGAAAATATATTAACTTAGTTTTTATAAATTACTTTACGTTAACTAAAGTTAAATACTCCCTTAATATAAGGTTAAACTACTATATAGTAATTATAAACTTACCTAAGCCCCTTAGGATAACCCTAAGGATAAGAAAAAAATATATTTTATTAAAATATTAAAAAAATTTTAGCTAACTTATATACTCCTTTACTTAAACCCTCCCTATAGTTAACTTAACTATACTATTAGAAACTAACTTTAATAAATATATTAAAGCCTTATAAAACCTTTTTAAATAAGTTATAAAAGGGGTTAGTAAAATTAGATATTAAAACGGCTATAATATACTATAGTAGTTAAAAAAGTATAAAGTAGTTTATAAAGCTTATAAAAAAATAGTAAATAGCTTCCCTGCTTAAAAAAAAGCTTATAAAACCCTTAAAGATTTTATATATTATAGTAAGTAAGCTTACTAAAATAAAATTATAATAAAAGCTAGTATTATTAAAAATATTTAATTAGTAGCTAAGTAATGTAAGGTAATAGACTGCTTTTAACTACCTCCTTTAATAAATAGGGATAAAAGTATTTTAAACTTTATAAAGAAAGTAATATTTTTTAAAAATAAACTTCTTAAGTAAAAAATAATAAAGGAAAATATTTTAGACTTATAAAAAAAAAACTTTTTTATTAATAAAAATATTTACTAAAATTAAATAATATTAAAGCTAAAAGTTAAAAAAGCTATAATAAAGTTAAGAAATACTATACTTAGCGTAAATAATATATTAGTTACCCTTTTATAGCTTACCTAGCTTACTATTAGTAAATATATAATTAACCTTTTCCGTAAATATTTAATAATAGGATATTACCTACTTTTTTTTTAAAGTATAGAAATTACTATTATTCTTAAACTTAAAAAGCTAAAGAAGGTATATATTATATATAAAAGCTATAAACCTATTTCCTTACTCTCCTATATAAGTAAAGGCCTTAAGAAACTCCTAGTTAAAAAAGTCTCCTTTTTAATAATAAAATATAAAATATTACTAAAATAATATTTTAAAGTTTTTTTAAAAAGGTTTATAATAAACTTAATTATTTACTTATTATATAATATTAAAGCTACCTTAGCCTAAAGTTTTATTATTTTCCTTTTTATATTTAATATCTTTAGTATATTTAATATTATTATATATAACTACTTAGTATATAAACTTAAGGAATAAAAGTAGCCCCCCTTTTTTATAAAATAAGTTAACTTTTTTATAAGTAATTATAAAGCTTTTATTTAAAATAACTATAGGATTACCTTTCTAGAAATAAAGCTAAAATATAAAGCTTTATAAAGGTTCTTTATTTTTTTTATTATTTTTATATTTTATTTTTCCCTTAGCCTAAAGCTTAATAACTTTAATACCTACTTTAAATATATAAATAATATTAATATTATAGTAGTAAAGGCTAATATTAAAGAAACTACTTAAAAGCTTTAGTAAAAATTAAAAAATACCTTAAACTAAGGTAATAAAAATATAGTTTTTTTTAACTTAAATAAAATTAAACTTATATATTTTTATAAAACTAAAACTTAAATATATAATAAAGGAGTAGACTTTAAAGGAAAGATTATAGTCCCCTAGGACTTAGTTTAGTAATTAAGGATATACTTAAACTTATAGCTTTTTTTTAAAAAATACTTTAGGATTATAAAAGGAAAAGCCTTTAAAGTAGCTAATTTCCTAAGATTTTTAAATAAAATATAAAAAGAATTTTTATTAAATATAGTAGTTATAGTAGTTAAGGTTTATATTACCTTTATAATCTTATATAGGATAAAGGTTTTTTAATTTAGTAAAAGTAAATAAAGTATAATAAACCTAAATAAATAAGTAGGAATAGGCTTAATAAAATTAATTATAATTCTAGAACCTTTATTTAAAGTAGTAGCTAAAGTAGTTATTCTTATATAAAGGATAATTAACTTCTCTATTATATATAGAAAATTAAAAGTTCCCTTAGTATTAGTATAAGTAATATAAATTAAACTTTATATAATAGCTTACTTCATAGATTTAAATAAAAACTATTTAATTAGTAAATATATTAATAAAAAAACTCCCCCCTAAGGTTCCTTTTACTTAATTATAATATACTACAGCTTTAGTAAAGAAAATAGTTTAACCCTCCTTATTTACTAAAAATAATAAAGTAGTTTAAGTAAGCTTAGACTTTAAAGGCTTACTAAAGTTAAAAGTAGTAGAAAAATACTTAAAATAATTTAACAGCCTCCCTAGGTCTACCTTTTTTACTTACTTAAATAGGTTATAGAATAAATAAGGTAATATTAGCTAAGGAGCTATTATATACTATAATTTTAAAAAAACTATAGTATATAACCCCTTTGCTAATATAAAGGTTTATAATACTAAAGTAGTAAATATTTTTAAAGCTATAAAGCTAACTAAAATATATACCTTTATAAACTTAAATATTTAAAAGATTCTACTTTTCTTAAATAATTTAGTAGTAATAGATAATATACTAAGGCTAACCTCCGCTTTATTTTAAAAAACCTATATAAAGCTATACTAAATTACCTAGAGACTACTTTTATAAGTAATTATAAAGGTAACCTAAGTCTTAGGTTATAAAAATATATTAGGAAATAAAAAAGCTAATTAATTAATAAAAAAAGATTTAAAACTCTTTTACTACTTAAAAAATTATTTTACTATTACCTTTATTAAAAAATAAGTAAAAAAAAAATATAAAAAAATATAAAATAATAATTAAAATAATAACTACCTAGAGTTATATAAAACTAGTAAATAAAACCTTTATAAAACCCCCTTTATACCCCTAAAGCTATATTTCCTATACTTAATCTTATATAAACTACTAACTAAAAGATTTAAATATAAGAACTTTATAAAATATTATAAAAGATTTAAATATAATACTAAGTTTACTTATAAATATAAGGAGCTAAGGATATAAAGGTACTTTATAAAGTATTATATAATAGCCCCCTTTTTTTTTAATATACTAAAGAGGAAAGTATATTTTAAAACTACTTATATTTAATACCTCCTCAGTAATAGGGGGTATAAGGATTTTTAAAAACTAATAAAGGAGATAAACTTATATAGCCCCCCCCCTATAGAAATAGATATATAAAATAGATTAATACTTCCCTATTTCCTTTATTATATTAAAACGTAGTAAACATAAGATTTAAACTCAGCGGCTCCTACTGTCCTAGTGCTTAGATAAGGACTTATATAACTAGCTTACTTAGTAGACGTTAATAATAAAACAAATAAATAAACAAATAAACTATCCAAGCGGATCTTGATGCTCAGATAGCTGCTCACGACCTCGTTATATCTCTTCTCCCATACGAGTATCATCCCGCTGTAATCAAGTCGGCAGTGAAGGGAAAGAAAAATGTTGTCACCACAAGTTATGTCTCACCGGCGATGCGAGAACTGGAGGCCCAAGTCAGAGAAGCAGGCATTGTTGTAATGAACGAGGTAGGAGTTGATCCCGGAGTAGATCATCTCTATGCCGTCAAAGCTATTGATCAAGTGCACGCAAAAGGTGGCAAGGTAAGTTATCTTGTTTTCCGATGAAGAAGTGTTCATTGTGTCTCATCTTTACCTGGTATTTATTTTTAGGTCAAAGAGTTTTATTCGTATTGTGGTGGTCTGCCAGCCCCTGAGTGCGCTGATAACCCTCTTGGATTCAAGTTTTCGTGGTCCCCGAAGGGGGCTATCTTGTCACAGAGGAATGCTGCCTCATTTTTGTACAAAGGAGAGCAAGTTGATATCCCCTCATCAGAGCTGATGTCGATTTCCAAGCCGTATCATGTCATGGACGGATACAGTTTTGTTGCATATCCGAATCGCGATTCTGTACCGTTTCGAAAGTTTTACCAGATCCCAGAAGCTGAAACTGTCATACGAGGTTCCCTAAGATACAAGGGCAACCCGGAATTTATTCAGGCGCTCGCAGGCATTGGATGGCTTGACCCTGAAGAGAAGATTTGGTTACGCGAAGACATCACATGGGCTGAAATTCAGCAGCGGCTGGTCGGTTCTTCTGGCTCAGATGAAAGGTTGGCGTTCTCCATCTTATACGTATGGAAATGATGTACCATTTACTAACGACCTCTCTGGATTGCAGCTCTCTAATCGCTGGCATCAAGAACCGCTACAAATTTCCTACTGCAGAAGAAACCGATCGAATTATTGCGGGGATGCGGGAGTTTGGCCTTTTTTCGAATACAGTACCCACTCTCGTGGCCAGCAATGTTTTTGACACTCTTTGTCACCAGCTTGCGCGACTGCTCAGCTTTAAACCAGGAGAGCGTGATCTTGTTATACTCCAACACAAGTTCGTCGTTGAATGGGCGGACGGAAAGCAGGTAGGGTTACCACCAGTTTGACCAAGGCGCCATCCACTCACTCTTCCCCACAACCGCCTTTTTGGTTCTCCTTCTTTCCCGTGGGCTGGGATCCTAAGCTCTAGTCATTAGCCGCCAATACTTATTTTCAAGCCAGTCACTGACATCATGCCAGGATACAATGACGAGCACCCTAGAGCTGCTCGGTGACCCGAAAAAGTACTCTGCTATGGCTTTATCTGTAGGCGTTACTTGCGGCATCGCGACCCAATTTGTACTGGATAAGCATCCAGCTTTTTCCACACCAGGCATCCATGCCCCGTATCATAAGGATGTCTGCGATCCCCTTAGAGAAGTCCTGGATCGTGAAGGAGTTGCATTGGTAGAGAGGGTGCTGTAGGACGACTCGGGGAGCCATGGACGGTTAGTTAGAATTGTTTACATTCTTATTTTACTCTTGAACCGATCTTGCTACTCCACCTCGCTTATTTGGTGGTTCACGTGGACGAACGGGCCGGCTGCCTGCCATGCTTTCGATGAGCCGCCAGTACAATGCAGTCGGAGCTACCGCCCGGAAGGGATTCTATTAGCTTGAAAGTCCAGAATACAGAGCTCGGTCTTGGACTCAAGCAGGAGTTGACATAGCCCTTATGTCGAATCTCGCTAAGATTCAGAAGAAATTGTTGCCATCATGAGTCATTGTAGTCGCCGGTTCGCTTAGCGCAGTACGTGGAATATTCAAGTCGGGGCCGCCGATGCGGACACTACTACAAAATATGTCGCTTGATGTAATGCTACACTAGCGTGTTGTCCGAAAACAGTATTGTATCATCTTAAAATAGTAAGTCAGAGGGCTTACTGGGACACCCCTCTTAATATGCTACACTAGCGTGCTGTCTTAAAATGGTATTATGTTATCTGAAAGTAGTAAGTTAGAGGGCGCCCTACTATCACAACCGCGGCTCTTATAGTCGTGACAATGGGCCATCCTGGCAAGACAAGACTGGATAAATGACGGATCATCAGATCATTGAAATGATCCAATGATCCTACACCGGATCATCTAGATCTGAAAATGATCCAGCTAGCACGACTGGATATATGAGATTCAGTTAATAGCTTAGATAGCCAGTTTCTAATACCTCCATATCTAATTTTCCTAGAGGTCGCCTGCCGGCCCCCATTCTCATCCAAATATCCAAGCCAGTGTGCAAACACTTCTCCACATTCGTCCCGTCCGCAGGTCTTTCAACAGCCATGTAAGATTTCGCCCACCCCCCATGCTTCCTTACCGCTATTCCCCCCTACTGGTGGTGGCTGTGAGTCATCGACTTGCTATACGAGAGCTGGGTGTTACTGAACCCGTCGCAGTACTTACTGTACAATGTGTCAAAGGCAAATGTTCTCGGTGGTCTAGATTGAGTGCACGTACATGTATTTAGCGAGACATACACATGACCCATTTTTGGTGATTTGACACCTCAAAAAGCCAAACTGCCCAGAACGGAAGCTTTTTGCTATCTGGGTTGTGAGATAAACTGGTCTGAGGATCCAATCTACAAAAGTTTCGGCGCTGAAGCTGATTATTGGCCGATTAGGGTTACAGACGAGGAGTGGAACTACCGCCTCCCCGCGGTGTAGCCATAGATTGGTCGGGTGCAAGTTCTGTGTCCTGCATTTTTAATAAAGAGAGAGAGGCCAAGAGGCACTAAGTCTTTTCTTAGGTACCACTTTCCTCGCTTAATTGCTGCGCAAAGGCTGCTTCGTCGGTACGATGTCTTGGTAAAGCTGTTTTCGTATCACCATGTTAGCCTCAGGCCGTCTGCTAAGTCAACAGCCAGCAGCTTATTGTAAATATTAAGACATAGGATCAGTGCCTGAAAATAAAATTCGCTCTGCTCTTATTCCTTAAGCTAAACGTATAAAAAGAATTTAATATATTATTATTTTCACCTCTATATCGAGGAGTAATGGCATTAATAGACGTTTGCTATCATCTAGGTCTAGCTAAATCTTTACTACCTGGGGGATAAACGCAAAGTTTACAGAACACGTGAGTGCACTTGACTCGGATACCTCACACATGGAGTTGGGCGTTAGGCTGTTTCTCTCTCCTACTCAATTCTCAAATTCTCCCCGGCTATCTAAGCGCAATTTGCAGCTGAAATCAAGCTGCGTTTTCGACGGTTGCTACCTCAGTTTCCTCCTTTCTCAATGCGTTGCTGAGTGGCTGAGATACTGCCACTGCGTACTCCTTGTCAAAAATACCCGCGACCTCCTCCAAGGAACTCCCCTTGGTCTCGGGAACAAAGAAGTAAACAAAAATAATGACAGCAATCAGAACGCCGACGTAGACAAAGTAGTATCGCCATTGAATCTCACGCAGCGCAATAGGATTCACATACTGGTTGAAGCAGACTGCTAACGTTTGCGAGAGCCAATACACGGATCCACCCTTGGCTCGAAGTTCTGTTGGCCAAATCTCATTGACGTACAAAATAGGGATTGGTGTGAAACCGATAACGTAGCCGCCTAAGAACAGGAACAGGAACACGATAACCGCTGTACCGGAAGAAGAATTTCCTGTGTTGGCGAAGACTGCCGAGCATGTCAAGACGAGGATCATGAACAGCAACATTATGGACGACGATAGCATAAATAGCTTTCTACGCCCAGCCCTCTCAGCCAGCATCGCCCCGGCAATTGACAAAAACCAGTTGTAAATCTGCAAACCCCCGTTGATGCCCTGCTGTTGAGTTGGGTTGGAGATGCCGACCGTCTCAAGCACCGGTGCAAAATAGTAGCTAATGATGCCATTACCAACCCACTGCGTAGCGAGACCGAGCCCGAGACAGATGAAAACTCTCCTCCGGTTGCCGGGGGTAGCAAACAACGATGCCCAAGTCACCTTTGAGCTCTTGGACAGCTCGACTGAGGCGCAAATCTCGGAAAACTCGACAATGACGAGCTCGTCAGTCTCATCACCATTGGCGTGATACTTGGCTAAGGTGCTTTTAGCCTCGTCGAGCCGCTGATTATTTACCAACCAACGCGGAGACTCTGGAGTAAATAGGACAAAGACAAGCTGCACGCTCGTCCAAAAGAGCTGTGTAACGACAGGCGTCCTCCACGACCAGCTGTTGTCGATACTGTGGCTCCCAAAGGATGTCCAAGCGGCCGTGATGGCGCCTACAAAGAAAAAGGTGTTAAAGAGGGCGCCAACGATAGCTCGCTGGCGGGGGTGGGCAAGCTCTGAGAGAAGTGCTGTTGAACTGATGGAGTTGAAGAGCGAGAAGAAGCCGAGTACGAGGCGGGTGCCGAGGAACTGGACGGCCGTCTTGCAGAAGCACTGCCCGATGACGGCCACGATTATGCCCACGTCTCCAATTATGATCCCCCACCGACGACCCAGCTTGTCGGCCACCCAGGGTGCTGGAAAGAAAGATATAACGCCGCCAAAGGAGTAGGCTGCGATGAGGAGCCCCAGAGTATTGACATTCTTGGCGCCCGATATGTCATCGAACCAGCGGGGGATTGCCTCGAGCCCAGAGATGAGAGAGACATCATAGCCGTTTGCTATGGAACCGAGAAAACAGGATAAAAGTAGAACTTTGAGGCTTCGTAGGCCCGGGTCTCTCCACCACAGCCGGTGAGTGTTGTTAGTCACGTTTGCCAATAGCACCGCGTTGCCAGGAGAAGTGACCGCGGATGGAGCCATGGTTGAATAGATTGAGGTATAATGGCTTCAAAAGGGCGGAGATTGCGAGAATAGGAGATTTGTAGCTCGCCAAATACCTGCAAGCGCCGCTGAATGAAGCCCAGAGTGTCGAATGCAATGTGCCAGAGTGTAACACTGGCCACTGAGGGTGAAGCTGTGGGGAGAGGGTCCTTTTGTAGATGTTTAATCTTTTGTGTGCCATTCTGCAGCAGATTCTTGTCCTCGGTGAATGTTTCTTTAACCCGTGTAACTGGAGAAATCTCAACGGCTGCCGTGATTAAGATGATAGGTAGGACAGGTCGTGGCTGGATTTTAGCTCATGTCGGAATTTTCGGATCTCGCAAATCACAGAGCTACCTAGTAAGTTGCGGCGACTCAAGTAGACATACCCAATCACGACAAAGCCGAACCATTTACTGGCGCGCCGTCCCCAATAGATCGCCCTGCAGAAGCCAAATCTCTGGGGCCCCATGGGGTAGTTCTGTGTTACTCTCCGGTGACATGTGGCACATCTCGGATCTCGGGTTACGCTGAAGCATCTTCCCTGACAGATGCAGTGGACACGCAGCAGTAGTTTTGCCTGATGGCGTCGTGGCGTGGGAGAAAGTCCAAGACCCTAAATCTTTTGGGCAATAATGCTGTTTGAGACTTCTTATTCGCTAGTTTTGGTCCGATCCAATCCAGTTGATCAGAATTTAATACCTCTCGGCCCTCGCTATCCGCGTTCACTTTTCAACTTCCCGAATCAAGAGAAGTGCCCACCATTGTACTCTTCTTGCACATTTCAATGACCGTTCGGGCTATTGCTGTCCAATAGCACATTTGCGCCGGCACTCGCACCCACTCACACAAACCCAATGCCACGTATGCGCAAGGGAGGCTGCTGGGTCTGCTCCAAGCGCAAGGTTGCCGATTCCCGACTCTACAGATGGTGGTGGCTGGCTAACTGTTTATTCCACAGGTCAAGTGTGACAGTTCAGCTCCTAATCCCTGCGCGAACTGTGAAAGACGTGGAGTGCAGTGCCAGTACGAGCAGCCCGGTCGCGGGTCAGGTAGGCATCTTATACAGTCGTTGCAGATGACATTACCGTTGGCATTGAGCGAGACATTGATATGTTGTTAGTCATTTTGCAGCAGGGAACCGGTCCCCGATCCCGGTACATGACTGAGGCAGGCATTCCACGGGATAGAGCACAGAGAGCGTGTCTGAACTGCGCTGCGCGCAAACTCAAGTGCTCCAGCGACCCAATCGGTTGCCAAAGATGTCTGCAGAACGAACTTGTGTGTACATACCCTGAGACGAAACGCGCTGCCAAACGGCCTGCCGAGCCTCGTCAAGAAGATGCCAAGGCGCGCAAGATAGTTTCAGCGCAACCGAATCACCTGTATGATGATGACAGAAACGAGTCACCGGCCTCGGAACGTGATCTTCCTCAGGCAGAGCTCGTGGCTGTATCTCCGCGTCAACACCCCAGCCTGTGAGTAACGATGCTCTAATTGTGGCATCAGTACTGTTAATGACCGTGCGTATAGTATCACGAACAATACAATTCATCCCAAGGAGATGATTAGGGCCCTTATAGATGCCTATTTCGAGTTCGTATACCCACTAACGAATCATGGGTTCATCCATCAAGGCAGGCTGCTTGAGGAACTAGACGAAGAGAAAGCGCCCGTCGTGCTGCTTAAAGCTATGGCTGTCTCTGCTTCACATTTTGTCGAGACTTCTGCGGACATGACGAAACAAGCCACCCAGTGGGCCGACGATGTTGATACCTACATCATGGCCAACATGGGCTCGTACTCCCTCCTTAATCTGCAGGTTTTAGTGCTGTGGGCTAACTATTATTACACTACCGGCAACATGGGAAAGACGTGGATGTTGGTTGGATTAGCTGCACGATTGGCTTACTGTCTACAGATCAATGTGGATTCAGCAAATGGGACACCCAGCGAGAAAGAGAGTCGGAGGCGCATGATGTGGAACCTCCGCATACTGGACCGGCTGCTCGCTGGAACTGTCCAAGAGTTTTCTGTGTGCTCAAAGTACATAGATAGCCTACGGTTGCCCTGCAGTGAACACTTCTTCATGGCTGAGATTGAAGTTGAGACAGACACTTTACAATCCTTTACCAGCCGCCAAGAAGTCCGAAACATTAGTGGCTTTGCTGCCCTAGTTGGGTTGTTTGAAATATGGCGCGAGATTCATCTGTGAGTAGTAGTTACACCCTAAGCTGGAGCATGTTTTCTGACATCTATTTGATTAAGATTCATGAAGAGAGTCTCTCAAATGATGATGCAAGTCGATGAAATGGTGCAGCAAGTTTCTGCCCTTCACGCGAAGCTCTCCGACTTTGAGCAACGACTTCCCTCAAACCTGAGATTCACAAAGCAGAATTTGTACCTTCACACCAATGCGGCAGAAAAGGCGACTTTCATCATGCTAAAGTCCTGGTGGCACGAGTGTTACTGCAACTTATACCGCTTTAGCCTCCCCGGATTCCGCGAGTCGGTCAAGCTCGCCTCTGCAAATGCGCCCTTTATACAGACATGCCGCCAGCAAGTGCTCAAGTCGTCTTTGGAGCAGAGTATCTTTTGGCGAAGTATTGCCAACATTCGAGGTGCTCGACTGAGTGATCCCATCGTAATCGTTCTGGTGCATTCCAATACGAAAACGCTTCTCGCCATCCAAAAGTTGCCAGAAGCTGATCCTCTTAAACAAGATTATCGAATGAGCGAGATCCCCGCTTTATTGGCATCTAACATCTCCTCCTTGGATTGGCTGGCAAGTCGAATGCCGAGGATTGCGACAGTGGTAAGTTACCCATATATATATGCACGGCGTAACAGAGTTACAGTTATATTTCCCTCACAGCTGTACGGCGATAATGTTTACTAATACTATCTAATGGCAGCAACAAGGAATTCGGAACATCATCCGTAAAAACATCGGCCACGCTTCTGCTGAAAGCATCATAGATGCTGGATTACCTCTGAAGCGACGGCATTCTCGCCAGGAACTCGTAGAGAGACATACAGATGAACAGGAAACACAAATACAAGCTGTTAGTGGAGGAGAATACAGAGACACTATAGACTCCGTTGTCTCACCAACAATTGTTGTAGAGGGCCTAAACGGTAGATTTGAGGTCACGCAACGCATGGATGTGGAAGCAGACGTTCTACGAAACAGACCGATGGATGACTCTGGTTGGGTTAGACGCGATGATGGACCAGAGAATATGCCTTCTCAAGGCCACGTGGATGATGCACCCATACTAGGAGTGTACGACGATGAAGCCATAAAAGGTATGGCAGGATATGTTGCTTCATTTGAGATGAGCTCACAGTATGACATGCTATTTGGAGCCTGGTTGCCAGGAAGCGAGGAACAACCGAGCACTGGCAACTTCTGGACCCTCTTCTAAAAGCTACTTAATCTGTCATGTGTCTAAAATATCTATCACTTCGCATAGATGTATTTAATACGGAAAGTAATAAGCTTGCATACTGACATCTGGCGACATATGATGGAATTTGTCAATACATCAGAATGCTCATTGCTAGACATTTTGGGCAGTCATGCTTGGCTCAGGCTTCTCCCACACCAGTCCTTTTACAATCTCTCGGTGAACCTCGACTCCAGAATCACCAACAGGGCCAATATTCTCTCCCGCTAGCCTTCGCAGCTCCATCTCCTTCATTCGCTCATGAATCGCCACGCGCCCAGGATTCAGAGTTTCCCTCTCTCCCTTGATACTCCAGTTGGGCAATGAATCAACCCCAAGATCCTTGAGCGTCTTCTTCTCAATCAATGAATAATCACTTGGGTCAGAGCGGTTGAAGTTGAAAGGCTCTTTAAGAGAGACAAATGGGTTGGTAATGACCCTAGGGATGTGCAGGGCGTTCCTCGAAGCTGAGTGCATCATGAGCGGGTGCATCAGAACCACATCACCGCATTTTCCTGTCATCTGCTGGAACAGATTGCATTTATCGGGGTTCTTGATTTGCTTGCAGAACCACTGAAACTCGTGAAACTGCTTCTCCTCCCCTTTCCGCGCCATGTACGGCGTCACGCCCTCGGGGTTGTCCAGCAAATGCTTGGCCACGACAGCAATTCCATCGGGGCAAATGTACGTGGCGCCACCATTCTCCAAGACATCCGTGATGCATGGAATCACCAGTAAGCCCTGGTTTGGAGAGTCGAGGAAGTGAATAAAGTTATCTCCGTCAACGTGCCAGTTGTCCAGCTGGCGAGGACCCACAATCCTCCCATTGAGCTTCTCGCTGCCAAAGTTGATGATGAAGTTGTCTCCCCAGTAGCGAGAAATTTCCGCGACACGATCTTCGCCACCGGAGAGTTCGCAAATGGCTTTCCATGCCTTGGGTGCTAAGTCACGGACGTCAACTGTGTTGAGTGTTGGCATGTTGATTTTCTCCAAAACCCAGGTAGACGGGTCATTCCTGTCGTAGCCAAGACGTGTCCAGAGATCTTTTGTCCACTCTTCGGCTTGCTCTCTAGTAAAGCACTCGGGGATAGATACCCAGCCGTACCTCAGAAAGTGTTCGATTTGATGAAGCGTGAGAAACTCGTACTTGACTGCCATGATGTCGGTGTTAATAATAATGCAAGGATATTTGATAGCAAAGTTAGGCTGGTAGAATTAGTAAATGGGCTGGGTTCTTGAGAAATGGAGTGATACATTCTTAAATACTCGATGAAGGCGAAATCATGGAGCAGATCCTCGCCAGATTGAACCCGGATTGTCTTTGTCTGTGGGCCGTCGTCACTACGTAATATCACCTCATGAACTGCGAAACCTGGGCCGAAACTCGGGTCCCGAAGCTTCGGTTCAACAACATCATATGACACATTTACAGTAAATGGGCGCTGCCGGATATCGTGAGAGTTTTGCGATACCCGAAGGGAGGCTTTGCTCATCCCGACGAGACCCGAGCTTTTAGGCTAACCGACCGTGGAGGAGGCAATGTCTACGCTGGCTCAGGGCAACATACACGTGATCTTATAATTGTCGACGATCATGATGGAAGTTTGAAGTAATTCATAGGCCGTGGGAGAATCTCGAACTATTCTCTGCCAATTGTTGCCAATATCTGATTGTCATCTGGCAAGATAGAAGCAATGTCTCAATCGCATCCATCGGCTAATATCAGGTGGGGCATTATTGGTATGTGAAAGCGTGACTTTATACTTTATGATACTCATTGACACACATCAGGAACCGGGTACATTTCAACACTCTTTGTTAAAGACTTAGTGATCGCCCAAAACCACAGTTCAACTCCAGCCCGACATGTTATCGAAGCAGTAGCCACGTCGAGTTTGAACAAAGGGTTAAAATTTCTTGAGGCTACCGAGACCACTCTGCAAAATCCCAAGATTTACACCAAACAGGAAGACCTATATGCAGACGGTCAGATAGACATCGTATACGTGGGGTTGCCACATTCTATGCACAAGGATGCCTGCCTGAATGCTATTGCCGCGGGAAAACACGTACTTTGCGAGAAGCCAATGGCGATAAACGCCAAAGAAGTGGACGAGATAATAGCTCTTGCAAGTCAAAAGAAAGTCTTTGTGATGGAAGGTATGTAATTGACATGAAACACTCTGGTCCAGCAATTTAACTTACGATACTAGCTCTTTGGACTCGGTTTCTCCCAGTAATTAGAGAGCTGAGAACACTGATACACGAAGAAATGGTTATTGGAAAAGTGTCACGCATGTTCTGCGACTTTAGCTGCGACATGGGCGCGTTGCCATCAACATCGAGGATCAAGGATCGAAACCTGGGCGGAGGAGCTCTTCTTGACCTTGGAATATACACGCTCACCCTGAGCAATTTGATACTGGATGGACAGGTCGGAGAAAAAGCGCTTCAGTCCGAAATCTCATCTAGAATGACTGTCGTAGACGGAGTTGATCACTCGGTAGCGATTGTGGTCAGCTATCCTTCCACGCAGTGCCTTGGCATTCTGACCGCCTCTTTAGAGAGCACTACAGAGAGAGATTTCTGTCGCATTGAGGGCAGCAGGGGTGTCATAATATTATCTGGCCCCATGGCAGCAAAACCGACGTCTATAAGAATCCAGCGCTACAACAACACCACTGACGAGGTCCGCGAGTTTGAGCATCCCGGTAATGGTTTCTACTTTGAGGCAAATTCGGTAGCGTCATGTATTTTGGCCGGGAAGCTAGAGAGCGATGTTATGCCCTTGGCGGAGACTCGTAGAATAGCTGCCATCATGGATGAGGTTAGGAAGACCGGTGGTGTTCTGTATCCGCAAGATTAGAGTTGATGAAATCTCTGTATTGATCTTTTAAATTTAATGTTAATGCTCTAGGCTAGAGAATAACAATATGTGCGTACTATCTTTGCTAATCCTCCTTTACCTTTTTTAACTCTTAGAACAGCCAAGTGAAATCTTCGTCAACTCGAATACAAGCCCGATGCCTGAGAGTGTAAGTCTCTATCCGCAATTCGTAGACGATCACATACCTTATATCGGCGCTGGATGCTCCAATCATCACCTCAAACGCGCCCTTCTCGGCGATCCATTCGGAAATGCTGTCGTCGTAATACCCAACGGAGTATTTGTCCAGGTTAACGACGACTGGTGCAGCTTGGCCCGGCTCTAGGAACACCTTTTCGAAAGCTACAAGCTCTTTGATAGGTGGTGGGAATCGACTGCTCTCGTCTCGGACGTAAAACTGTACTGTTTCTGCTCCTGCCACTGCGCCAGTATTCGTGATGCTCAGCGTGATGGTGATGCGATCATCAGGCGTGATGGAAGTAGCTGACAACTGCGGGTGCCCATACTCAAATGTCGTATAAGAGAGGCCATGGCCGAATGGAAATAGTGGCTCAATACGGTTCTGATCGTAGTGCTTGTACCCAACGTACAAACCCTCTGCGTACACGGCACGGAGATTCTCTCCAGGCCAGGTGGGCCATGCCGGAGTGTCTTCTATGCGTCGTGGGAAAGTAGTCTGAGCTCTCGTAAGCATTAATTTTCTTTTTATTTTGGAAAGATCGGCCTACCGGAAGTTTACCACTGGGGCAGACCAGCCCAAAAAGCACATCCGCCAACGCATTGCCTGCTTCTTGGCCCTGGTACCAGGCCTGGATGATGGCTGCCACCTCATCGACCCAAGGCATGGAAACAGGACTTCCAGACTGGTTGACTACTACTGTACGAGAATTGGCCGCAGCCACTGCCTTGATGAGTGCGTCTTGCTCACCGGGTAGATCCATTGAATCACGATCGTAGCCCTCTGATTCCCACTCGGCATCAAGACCAACAACGACAATGGCAACGTCGGCAGCCCGGGCTATGGCAACAGCTTCTTGGATGGAGTCACCATTATCCTGTTGCTTAAAGCCGATTCTACAGCCGCCGAACTTATGGGTAACGCCGAGCTGCTTTTGCTTGGCTAGCGGGCGTAGCTCGTTTGTCATCTCGACCATAAGTTGCACCGGCTTGGATGCCTGCATTTCAACCTCGATAATGTAATTCATTGACCCTTCAAACATGGTTGCTCCCTCATCAGCCCAATCCCATAAGTTGAGCGCGAGCTGACCATCGACATATAATTTACCAGGGCCAACGCTCATGAAGCTGATGGAATGCTTGCCAGACACTGTGGGCGTCAGAGAGGTCTTTACGACCGCGGACCACTCTGGACCGACTTCGTCGATTGGCGCTGAGTCCCAGAGGAACAGGTCTGTATGGTTGCGTTGCTGAGTAACCACAGGTTCGCCGTGAAACCTGTCGCCAGCGTACCAGTCAATATCGACCCCAGGGTTGCCAGTGCTATTCGTGCAATATTTGGAAGCCACTGGTAACCACTTGTGGATCGAGCAGCCTTGAGCAAACTTCACCTCTCCAGCCACCTGACGGATGCTGTCTAGAGGTAGGGTTGTGTAGTACGGATTCAGACTGGCACTGCCGCCTCCGTTGGCACTTGCGCGATTGGCATTGGGTCCAATGACCGCAATCTTTGTCGTCTTGGGACAGATTGGAAGAATTCCATCATTCTTGAGTAGCGTAAGCCCTTCGTGTCCTGCCGTACGGATAAGTTGGCGCGTTTCTTGACGATCCTCTTCTTGCTCAGGCCGCTCAGGCGACATGTCCGTACTTGGTTTAACGCGCTCAACTAAACAGAGAACATTCTCGGCAGCTCTGTCAATCTCAGCCATGCCAATTCGATGCTCATTCACGGCCTCAACAAGCTTGTCAAATCGCCACTTCGTTGAGTGTGGAAACTCAATGTCACAACCCGCTCGTACGGATTCCACGGTTGAATTGATGCCGCTCCAGTCCGAAATAACAGTTCTAGTGAAAGATTAGTCCCGGATTTTTTACACAAAGAAAAAAGATAACGAACCCATCATAAGCCCATTCTCCTCGTAGGATATGTTTGAGCGTTTTGTAGTTCATATCAGCATGAACACCGTTGATGAGGTTGTACGAAGACATGACCGTCCAAGGCTGTGCTTCCCGAATGGCAATCTCAAAGGGACGGAGATATACTTCACGCAAGGCTCTCTCTGAGATGATTGAGTCTCTACTCATCCTATCTGTTTCCACTTCATTGCCAACAAAGTCTAAAGGGTGTCATTATATACGTTTGGGACGGTTAGGGAGGACATACTTACGCTTAATTGAAGCTGCAATGCCATTTTCCTGGAGACCTTGAATGTACTGCGCAGCCAGCTTTCCTGTCAGGAGAGGGTCTTCAGAGAACGACTCAAAGTTCCGGCCGCCAAGGGGGTGACGATGCATGCACACGGTTGGTGCAAGCAACAAGTCTGCTGACCTGGCCTTAGCCTCTGCTGCCAAATGCTCTCCAATGGTGCGTAAAAGAGATTTGTTCCAAGTGGCAGCCAAAGAGGTCCCGCAAGGAAACAGAGCGGCCTGCCCGAGTTAGCAAAATCCTCCAGCGGGTCGCATCAGCATTTGCCTTGGTGCCGCCAATGAACATAGCGCCTCGAGCTCCATTTGGACCGTCCGAAGTCTTGATAGCTGGGATGCCGTGTTCGGGTATAGCGTTTGTCCTCCAAAAGTCCGCCGCGGTGAGCAGTGAAACCTGTGGACTGTTAAAAAAAATAACCCTCCTATTTCTCTAATAGCGTACCTTTTGCTCGAGACTCAAAGCGAGGAGCTTCTTTCTTGCAGAGAGCCTAGTGTCAACCAGGAATTGCTGCATTGGCCGGCCATCAGGCGAACGTAAGCCATTGGCGCTGGCTGTGCTGTACGATTCTGCAGTCATATTACAATATGGCTAGTGTTTGATAGATTAAAGCCTATTCCTAGACGGACACTGATGCAACGGTAATTACTCTGTTACACTTATAGGGATTTCCAGTACGCTTCAATACAGCCCTAAAGGCCACTTTCGGCATTCGGAACTGTCGCCTACGTAGCTGGGTTCATTGCCAATTATGACCACAAGGGAGATTCCGAGATCCGAGCCCGAGTACCGAACTCATCATTCTGGATCCAGAAACCCGATTTGGCGTTTCTTAGTTAATAGCAAACATAGTAATTAATAGTATTGAAAGTTAATATGAAACAGAGCTATATGAACCGGCGTAGCGCTGAGATATATGTAAGCTCGAGTACAAAAAAGAATAATAAGTTACATGTAACTATATAGTTGAAATCCCACTGCGTCCGGTATACCGCTGACCCTTTAACCACCAGCAACAATGCTCAAGTCTATTTTCTCAAATCGCATCAGCAGCGAGCTTACCACCACAAGCGCCCCGGCCGCAGCCACAAGACTAAAGATTTTTCGAATTGTCTCTGCTACAGCAACAACAGCAACATGAATAATCTCTGCATCGCCGGAAGAGAAGACAGGAGACAGAGTGCCCGCCAAAGCCGATCGGATGTAGTCATCTGGCAGATGTCGCCCGGCAAAGGCGCTCTTGAGTAAGTTGAACCCAACGTTTTGAAATATCGACCCGGCAATTGCAAGGCTAATAGCAATGGTACCAATCTGTGCAACATTGATAAAGCCAATCGCTTTCGGTTCATCCTTGGGAGACACTTTGGCAACAGCGACAGCGTATCCTATTTGGAAAAGTAGACCGATCCCGATTGCTGAGAGGGCTTCATACCCATAGATCTTGCCAGTAGATGTGGTTTCATTAATTGTACAGAGCAAAGCCCCTCCGATTGAGATGAAACAACCACCAACAAAATAGTAAAGGTTGTATCGCCCAACTATAGGAAGCGTAGCACCAGCAGCCATGACGAAGACGATGAACACGCAGATGAAAGGTAAGAGGCGGACAGCAGCTTGCAAAGGGCTATCCCCCTTTGTGAATTGGAAGAATAGTGGTGTGTAGTAGAGCACAACGCCTTGGGCGGCGCCGGCACTGCCTGTAGCAATATAGAGTAAGACGAGGCTGCGTGATTTGAGAAAATGCACAGGAAAGATCCGGTGTTCGTCGGTTGTAAAGATCTTGAGACCCTGTTGTAAGGTGAAGGCTATCAAGCACACTCCAAAAACCACCCAAAGCACAATGGATGTAGTATAATTCCAAGCAAATGTGGAGCCGCTGAAGGTGACAACAATCATAAACAACACGAAAATTGTAGCATAAATAATCGCACCAATCCAGTCGATGTCGGCGAACTTTTGTTTAATAGTGAGATCCGGCCGAGGGTTCTTGGAGGGGACTATAAAGAGATAAATGGGCAACAGAATGCCAGCAGCTGGAAGATTGATATAAAAAGCCTAGTGACAACGTTAATATGCGCTTCACGTACGATGAAGGTAGTTATATTACCCAACGCCATGTTGCACTGCTGACAGAGAATGCACCCCCGATAACTGGCCCAAGAATGCAGCCTACACCCCAGCTTAAGCCAGTCAAGGCATTATATAAAGGGGCTTCCGTTTTTGTAGTGAAGGTGGATGAATACGTAAGTGCCCTATATATCGTAAGTGCTCTGTTTAGCTTTTTCCCACGGTGATACTCACCCCAAATACATTCCAGCTCCGCCAACGCCTGCAATAGCTCGGCCAATGATTAAAGCATCAGAAGTTGGCGCAGCACCGCAAAGTGCGCTACCAGCTTCGAATACGACAATGCTTGAAAGAAGCAATACCTTTATGTTGAACAGCGCGTATGCCCGACCGAAAGGGAGGATTGTTGCCACTGATGCCATTGGAAATCCAAGCCCAATCCACGGCAGTTTCTCGATATGTCCTAACGCTTCATACACTTGCGCTTGAACGTCGGCAGCGATTGTGGTATCCAGGCCTTATAAATATCAGTACTTGTTACATCCCAGGGAATCAGTGTCTGAGGAGCCTCTACCGTATAGAAGAGCTCCCAAGTATAGCGCAATACAGGTGAGGATCCATTGCGAATTTTTTATGCCGTCTCTTGGATTCACATGCTGACCGCTATTAACAGGCTCCTCTCCACTGGCTTCAACATCGCTAGTTGAATTGTCCGATGTCTTCTCCATGTTTGGGAGATGAGATGAATTTGGAAACCGGAGTAGGTATTGAGATATTGGTACAACAAGAACGAGCTTGGCCAACGCATGGTTACAATTAACGGGGGCCCCTATATATAACCATTTGATGATTCTTTTTGATATATCTCCTGGAATAACTCTCTGCAGTCTACTCCAAACAATTACTCAGATGGATAAGGTGGCTTCTTCGTGCCTGAGCTTACAAACCAGAGACTTCCGCTCGGGTGTTATCCTATCAGCACTAGCAACTCCTGGGCCTACCGTCAACATCTCGCCGACCGTGCATGGTTGATAGGGTGGAGAGCGATCCTGTGGAGACAATACTTCTCATCGTCAGTTTCGTAACCATGTCGTTGATCTTACTGGGCTGGCTTAGGTTGGCTTAGAAATCGGTACTGGCTGGATTGGCCCGAACTCGCTGGAAATGAACTACTCGAAACGGAGTTTAAAGCAGGGTATGCAAGGTGGTGGCGTACAAGTTCATTGTATTCTCATATACCTAACTAACGCAAATCATGACATCTGATTTCTGAACGCTACCTACGTTAATATTACATTTTATGAGGACTATCGAAGCGGGTCTCAGATGCCAACATTGCGTAGTGTAAACACGCATTGTAATCGAATCTGGTTCTTGTAAGAAAGAGTGACCGGTATCCTCGTCCTATGAGTGTTTACTGTGGGTTCAGCTTTCTATGGCGTGCGTCGCCTATTCCAAGTTTAACATCTAGGAGTTGTATTGCCGACCAGTACTGATAATATTGCACTCACAAGGGAATATCACGATAGTAGGATTTGAGGGAGGAATTACCCCAGTGCTTCTACAAGGCCACCATATAGAGAATTGATAGTGGTAACAGCGGACACCGCACAACTATAATACCTTCTGGAAGAGAATCTTGGAAGTCAAAATTGCCCAATTCTAGCAAACCTTTGGTACCACGAGTAGCCGGGTAAGGAGACGGGCCCAGGCAGGTGGGCTCTTTATTCCTCCCTTAGGTTTATTAGCATACTCGTATACCTATGTAGGATGAAGTTACTTTGCAATACCCTATAGACATTTACATGATCAGTAATCGAAATTGTCCTAAGAATTCATCTAAGCCTAAAGACGTTATTGGAAGTGGAGTTCTGGAGCGGCAGTCTCGGGCGGACTCTTAAAGCGGACTTTTAAACGGGCTTTTATAAACGGACATTTAGAGCGGGATTTCGCTAGCTGCGCTTTGCAAACCACAACGACCTGATGTTCGCGTTCACGTTTTAAGATGCCTACAGATGGGACGCGAAATTCAGTCACGTAATCCATCACAGAATTACACTTGAGCCATAGTCGGGCCACAAAATGCCGGCGGAGACACAAATCTGATTGAAACACCATCTATTTGTCCACAAGTCCGCCCAAACATCGCATGAATATGCCGCCGCGTCAGTCCGCTACTACGAAGCATCAACAAGATACCGCTAGGCCTGTGAAGCCACCACTTTCTTGCCATCAGTGTCGGCGTTTGAAAAGACGTTGTGATCGTCAATACCCCTGTTGCACGCTCTGCCATCAGTGAGTTCCAGCTTTGCTAATCACAAGTGAATTCAGAATTGACAATCCGATCACTTTGATAGGAGGCGGGTAGCATGCGATTATCCACACCAAAGGAAAGAAAGAGCTCGGCGAGGAGATAGACAAACTCCGGGTGAAGTTTCTCTATCTACCAAGTCTCAATCAGCGCGGAATATTATTGCAGATGCGAAGCTGCTCAGCCCGTCCAGCCGGCTAGGGCGGGAGAATGCACACTATCAGCTCTCTGAATTGGACGAGCTCGATCTTCTTGCCGCAAGCTTTCTAGATCCCGATCATTTCATATTAGCACAACTGGAAACCAAAAAGAAAGATGTTGGTATTACGAAGATGGTTGCCGACCTGGTCGGCAGCGTTAGCGATATTCAAGCTACCGCACAAGTTTTCTTCGAAACAATCCATGTTTGGATGCCTATTGTATCCAAGCAGCAATTTCAACAACAGCTGCTGCAGAGGTTAGCTTTTCAACGAGCTGAACTGTTTGTACTAGTGCTGGCCATGAAGCTCTGTTCATCACGGGTAACAGTAGCAAAGTCAATGCTCTATCGAACTACGAAACAATTTTATTTTGACATAGAGTCATCTGGGAGATTCTCCGTCCAGACACTCCAAGCCGCCATTCTGATTGCGATTTACGAGCTCGGCCATGGGATATATCCCGCGGCGATCATTTCAGTTGCCAACTGTGCTCGTATTGGTACCCTGATCGGGATCGACAAGTCTCTAAGTTCATGGGATCTCATGTCTAGAGTACCATGGATCGAGCTCGAAGAACATCGTCGAGTTTGGTGGGCGATTATAATCCTTGATAGGTGCACACAATCCCATCCCAATCCATGCATAACACCTACTAGTACCCTGACATCGTAATCTGGGTTTTAACATATTCTTTGTTACAGATTTATGAACCTTTGTTATCCTAAGCGATACCTAGTTACTCGGGATCCAGACCCTGAGAGTTACCTCCCGGTAAACGATGACGATTGGGACAGTGGAGTGAGTGTGAGGGTATGTCTTCTTAGGTTTCTTTCTCGCTAACAGCATGGTGCAGCTTTCAAAGCCTGAACATGCAGTGACGCTGCGCTTGTCATCCCAAGTTCACATCGGAAGATTTGCTCGTTTTGCCCATGCAGTACCTCTGTTTAGCCAAGCCCTTTCTAGGTCGGGTGAAGAGCCGCACAACACTGCACAGTTGCGACGTACTATTCTCTCCCTGATAAACCTCGGAGAGACAGAGGGGGTGACAAATAGAGTGTTATTCTGCACACTGAATGCAGTAAGTTACATGTATGTACTGGCTCCTGACTCCCTGTAGGTTTCGTACCATTAAAATGTTGAAGCGCAGTATTTGTTCTCGACAGCCCATCATCGCGATTGGATACGGAAGACAACGGGCGACCAAGAGAGGAGTTTGTATCGCCCGAAACTATATCTGCTCTTCAACATGCAGTCAAGGTCATGACGAGAGAGTCATTTGAGTCCATTGTACACGACTGCGAGAAGCTTTCACCCTTTCTGCTACACATGCTGTATAAGGCATTAGTGGCATGTTTTCGAATGAAACAGAATCCTCCCGCGGGGCTGGATGTTGCATTGAATATCCATTCGTTGAAGATAGCTTTAGAGCGATTTAGGAGTCGATGGCTAGTGGCTGGTATGATCAAAACAAAGTTTCCCTTTAAATAGGAGATGTATGTGAAAGACCACTAACAAAGTGCCAGGTACTTATCTTTTGCTTGCGAAGAGACAGGAAGTTTTCTCCCTTATAGAATCTCCATAACTACAATTACATTCTACTACTAGCAGATATTGAATTGCGGTGGATTTTAGATACAATGGGATTGTTGGGGTAGAAGACGCCAGCAGGGTTGAAGATCGGTTTGGGCCGTCAGGGGGGTAGAACGTGTTGGTGAGTAATAAAGCTTGCAACAAAAAGCAATACAGCACTGCCCCAATTCGGCTACTCCGGTTATATGTGAGTGTAGCAGAGAACTCGGCGGAGAAGTTCTCTCAGTATTCGACACCTGTGCCTTCTTTTCTCCTCATTTGTTTTGGTTGGGGATTCAACAAAACGAATTCAGTGCTGAGGCCATGAGCACAACTGATCAAATGAGTGTTGCTTTAATAGACCACAGAGCATTGATTGTGTTTTATCAAGGTGTCTAGCACTATCTGTCCTAGTGTATTTCAATGGGCTCTTTGTCACTCGACCCAAGTATAGGGGTGGCCTATTCAAGGCAGTTACAACAGAACTACGTAGTACTGAAACACCATTTATCTATTTTTATATGTTTACCTATGCATTAGTCAACCCAGCAAAGAGCATGCTCTGCGTATCCCATAGCGGCAACGTGCATATTCCCAAACGAGGAATGGTAATTGTAAGGGCTAAAATATTGAGCCAAACAATTTACACATAAGATGTTACCTCATTAGAGATCGAAAAGTGGCATGGCCCAGTAGACACGCCTAGCCGGCGAATGTCGCCGCGACTAAAGGAGCTAGCGAATATTTCTTTCGTGAAACTGATGAGCGTATGTAAAATATGCATATAACTCGGCATTTTGTCCACTATCCCGTTTTCTCGTAGTATTTCGTCCAGTACATCGACTGATAAACCTTCTGCAGCTAATATACATATGTATACATATCTACACGCATGATAGGTGATCGCGAAACACAGAGGTAGCCACTAATTAATACCATCACCATTGTCTGGTTTGAAGGGCTAAAGCAAAAAGCCAATAATACGTCGATGATGTCTAAGATCACCTATCTGATTACCGGCGCTAACAGAGGCGCGTCTGCTTACCCTGCCGGCGCACTGATAAAGCTAAAACACACATACCTATTCTGACATATCTTATAGGCATTGGATTAGCTCTTGTAGAGACGTTTCTTGCGAGGGACAATGTCGTGGTTATTGCGGCTGTGCGAGACCCTCTTGACAAAAAGTCTACGGCCGCTCTATCCAACGCTATCTGCGGAAGTAAAAGCGAGCTTATTGTCATCAGGATTGACAGCCTTGATAGCAATAGTTCATCTTCTGGTGTTGCAAGCATACCAGAAAGAATTAATCACCTAGACGTCGTTATTGCCAATGCTGGGGTGCTGCAGCACTATGGCCTCGTAACAGCCCTGCCTATATATATGCTGTCATATCACTTCGCCATCAACACGGCAGCGCCCATCTCGTTATTACAAAATTGTCTGCCGCTATTGAAGAAATCAAAGAAGAACAACTGTCCTAAATTCGTCGTCATAAGCAGTTCTCTTGGTAGCATCACTCAAGTTGACCAACTCTCACCATTTACTGGAGCGTATGGGGCTAGTAAAGCTGCAATTAACCACCTCATGCGCAAAGTCCATTTTGAAGAACCCTGGCTATCATCACTAGTGATCTGCCCGGGGTGGACACGGACTGATATGGGCAACACCGCTGCACAACTGGCCAAAGTCGATACACAGGCACCTGTGCCACTTGATGTCTCAGTCAGAGGCGTTGTTGAAGAAGTCAGTAAATTGTTCCCCACAACCTATCATTCACTGCCTCCGCATTTTCCAATGCGCGCACGATGACTGAATTGAATCAGATCGACATTTTGGTCAGAACAGAAAAGGTTCGATTTGCCTCATTCGATCACAAAGATTGTCAATGGTAACGAATGACAAAGGTAGGACTATAGATGAGAAAGTTGAGTATAATGCATATTTTACTATGTCATGTGCAGCGACATATTTTCCGGGCAGTCAAGACTCGAGAATTTCAGAAATATACACTCAGGGCATTTGTGTTGCGTCCATTAGCTAGTTAAATTGCTTAATACTCGCCAGTCGTGGAGATGACTTACGTGCTCTACTTTTTCTGCTAGTATTTTGTTCATTTGACTCTTAACGTGATATTCTTTCACAAAAGACTACTTTGTACTTTATTTAAGAAAACACAAAAGACTCCCTTTTTGTTTTTCATAGATTCATCGTTTCTGGTGAGAATTAAGCCTCCAACTGTACTTTATAAATACTGGGATCTTCTTCCAAGTTTTGTATCTATATCTACTCGATCTGTGTTGTGCGCAAAGTGTCAAATTCTGCTACAGATCGGATCGGGCCTCTGTGTGATTCAAGAAGAATGTGTCGTAACTCAATTGATTAGAGTGTGATATAAAGATGAGCTTTGGTACACACATTTTAGTTCAATTCAGCAAAAGACAAGGCACGATTTGAGATCTCGCATTACGTCGCTAAATGGGGCCCTAACTCCCTCACGAGTGGCCCCGCTAATTGATGTAGGAGAATTCTTCAAAAGATTACTGTCGAAGTATGTGATATAAATGTCCGTTGGGAGAGGTTAATAGTTTACGTGCTTTGAGATATTTACTCGAAGTAGTAACTGTACAGCAGGACTAGGATTAACAGTGCCAGTTCAGACTTTTGACATTTTTGTATTGCATCCGCAATGCGGCGAGATGGTGTGAGGGCGGCAATTGGCATCTCGATTGAACCCACAACGGCTATGCTACCCTGCTGCTTTGGCAACATCAGGGCATGGCTATCTGACGCTTCGCAAAAAGTCGCTCTTTCTTCATCACCAGTGACGCTAAGAAACAAATGATGCCATATGTAATGTTTAGGATATAAACTGGGCGCATCGCCTCCGTAACAGCACTTGCTGCTTTTGCAGCGAGGTGCGGGTCAAGATTCTTTAATAGAGAACTCTGTAGACCAGCTACCGCTCCTCGGATGTCTGCGTCTGAAAAACCATGGTCTCTGAGAGCGAACATCAGATTTCTGACTGCAAAGGTCTGAAAAATTTGACCACTTATTAGCAGAGTCAGTAAGCTGCTGGTAATTTGCTAAAAGTTTTGCGCGGAGATGCTGCGTTGGACATCAATGGTAGGCCAGCCTTTTGAGGTAATTTTGATGCCAGCTATTGCATATCCCGCTTGAGAACTCAGCCCACTGCCAATAGCTAGCAAAATGCTATAACCGTAGATTTTGGCTGAAGCAGTATTGATGTGAACTGTATACATAAGCCCACCGCCCACGCTAATGAATATCGCCGAAGCTGCATACAGCACCCAACTTGAGTCGGTTTTAGTACGAGAAATTGTCCGCAGGCAAGATGAGTGACACTTACTAGTAATTGATCCGAGGAAGAAGACTCCCGAGAGCAGACTTATGGTTACAAATACCAGAACAAAGGGGAGCAGGCGTACTGCTGCATCAATAGCAGAGTCCCCATGCACAAACTGAAAGTACAAGGGGATGAAGTAAAGGGGAACAAAAATGTTGGCGATAGTTACCGCAGTCTGTATATTTAAAAGCGTGATGGTGCGGTTTTTGATGATATGCGGGGGTGGGAAGAGTCGCTTTTCGACGGTTGTGCATAGATGGAGCCTCTGTTGGACCGCAGTAGCGATGATCAGTATTCCAGAGAAAACACAAAAGATAATCGTTCGATAATCTTGCCACGGCCAGATGTTGCCTCCGTTTGTCAGAGCGAAGGAAATGCAAACTATAGCGCCAGTACTAAGAATCCACCCAAACCAGTCGAATGAGGAAATAGCAGGTATGGCGCCCACTTTAGCTGAGTCGGTGGGTTTGATGGATGGAAGAAAAAAGATATAGATTGGCGCACAAAGTGCAGCGATCACACTATACAGGAGCACTCGATGAGATCTCAAGGTGACAAGCAATAAGGAGCGGTGTATACTCACAGGTTAATATAGAAAGCCCATCGCCAAGTTGCTGAGCTTTGGGAGAAAGCCCCTCCAACAACGGGTCCAAGGATGGCTCCAACACCCCATACAAGGCCAATGCAGGACATGTATCGCCCCCTCTCCTGGTTAGAAGTCAGAGCCGTTAAGTAGTTGAGAGTACTTTGAGTTGTTAGCCAGAATGTGGTGGCCAACAGGCCTTCCCTGTCTCTAAAGAGCAACTTACCCGATGTAGATTCCTGAGCCTCCAATTCCAGCAACTACTCTCCCAACGATAAGCGCGTCCATAGTTGGTGCCGCAAATTATTGACCCGATTTCAAACAAAGACACTGATACAATGAAAAGATATTTGTAATCAAAGGCAGTGTAGAAGGCGGCGCTTGCGCATTTGTCAGTTTTTGGGGGCAAAGTTATTGTGCGGCCAGTTGAAGGTGCACCCACACAGGAAAAATCGAGCAGACCGAGCCGAGCAAAAATCCGCTTCCAACCCAGGCTAGCCGGTCGACACTATCAAACTGCACAATAATAGTTGCTTGGACATCTGCAGCAATGGTCATATCCAATCCATAAGTCATTAGACTGACATATATTGAAATGCAAACAAGGGCCCATCTAAGTCCATGGACGTTTCGTGGTGAAGTTGGCGCGGTATCTTCGTCTGTTTCGTTTACCATTAAAGCATCGGTCGTTTTTTCGGTACGGTTGTTGACTTCTACTTCGTCCGTAATATGGCTTGACGCCTTTGTAGTATGAACATGCATTTCAAGAGACGTATGATAGAGATACAACCTTTTTGTATGACCGTGGTATAGGTAGTAAAAGAGGAAAAGTCGCAATTTGTAGTATTCGGCTTATGATCTGTAGAGGATACTCTCACCAAGGCGAATTACATCTCTCAAACTATCTAACCAACACTATTTTTATAATAATCTCTTCGTGTATTCATCACATAAAGGACTTACCTCGACATCTTTCTCCGAGGCCGTGGTTTGAACTGTTGGGGCCTGAAATCCACCCCCCCAAATGGGCACACCAAGCCGGCGAAAGTCGCCGCGACTAAAATAGCTAGCGGCTATGATGAAGGACTCACTTTCACTCATGCTGGCTCCGAGCCCGTCCGGCATGAGGGAGGAAGACGGCCAATTTGGCCGTACCGAAAAGACTTTCAGGAGATCGAGCAGCCGCCATGCATACTTCAATCTCCCGGCCGGTCAGTTACGTCGTGATCTACACAGCCTCTTGTCTGTTGTTGGGACAGAGGGTAGCTCTGGGTAACAGTGATGATATTCAACATTTACAATAAGGCGGGGGGTTTATTATTCCGTCCTCGACGCGTTTAGTGTAATATTCGGGCAAACGTTTTACTCCAAGCTGAAATGAGAACACAGTGAATCATGTTGTTGGTCAATCAACCATGACAACACAAAGACAGCAAAATGTCGTTTGCAACTTTTTCCCCGGATGCCCTCCCTGAATCGATTCGTATCTGTCCCATTTGCTCCAAGCCGTTTACCTCTGGTAAGTGACTTACACTCGTGGATCACACTCTCTCATATTAAGCGTTGAAGCGGTAACACTTGAACGCCATTTGTCGTACTGTCGACGGAGTCGCAACCGTCCCAAGATCCGATCCCGCTCTTGCTGGGAGTGTTACCAGGCCAAATCAAAATGTAGCTTTGAGAGTTGCTGCGCACGTTGCGTTGCAAAAAAATTGCAATGTGTCTACGAGCGACTGCCCGCTGCGTTCCCCTCAACATCTAACCCAGCTCTTGGACCTGCTAAAGATGTTGAACAAAATCGTTCGAGCGATCAACGTACTTGGTCTTCTATGACGACTCCAGCCAGCAATGTTATTGATAAAGACGGTCATCTCGTGCTAGAATCGGCCGAGCCATCGAGTGATGGCGATGATGCAATTCTAACTACGATTCTTACCGATGATTATACCAGTTCACTGGCGGTACCTTGTATAAGCACCCCGCCGACAAGTTGTTTCGAGGTCTTCACGAGTACTGGGTTTTTACAGCCGTTGAAAATGCATTATCCACTGGCTCAACAAAGCGCAACAATGCTCTGGCGAGGATTGCGCGCGTTCCCCGAGAAAATGCTGATAAGAGAAAACTTTCCACCTTTCATTCACCCTCTCCGGCACTGTCCAACTTTGTCGGAACCTCTGGCTGTATGTATGAGGATCGCGCAAATATTTGCTTCTAGGAGTATGGACATTGAACCATTTCTAGAGAACAATTGAATCCGAGCAGAAGCGATTTCTTGAAGAGGTAGGGGATTACCTCGCTCTTGTTCTTTTTATCCTTCTGTTAATAACTTTCCATATCATAGGTCCATAACTATGCGGAAGACGATCTGCTGGCGGCCATGCAAGCTCATTTGATCTATATAATAATGTGCGTCGTTGGCGAGGCCAAACATTCACAGAACTGGAATCAAACCATGCTGTTGACTTTTGAAGTGGGTCTTGTTCCAATCTCTTTCCTTTCTTCACTGATAGAAGGTTTGGTGTAGGCATTGTGTGATCAGCTGAAGAAAATGCAATTTGAGCCATTCTAAAGAGATGAAAGCATAAACCCAAGTTTGACTTGGATGAATGGAGATCTACAGAGTCTCAGCGACGGTCAGTTTCTTTACCAACGGGCTGCAGCTTAAAGGACTGCCTGTGTCTGGTTTCTCATGAGTCGCATAGTTGCTGTCAAAAGCCATAGCCACTATCGCCATCACTGATAACTTTCGCATGCTGCCACTTCCGGCGCCTAAGGCTCAGTGGGAGGCACAAAGTGAAATAGCTTGGGCGCAGGCACTGGAAGCCGGCTACCCCAACATGTCTACAATCGGCCATTTACTAGACGCGCATCAATTACCCAGTGATTCAGGGAATATGTAGAGGCTAGATTACTGGTATGCAAGAGTAGATAACATAGGAATGCTTCTAAACATTGCTATTTGTATTATCTAACCTAATGTCGTTAATCATGAACATCCTCACAGAAGTTCTAGCACTAGCGTTACTATGCAGGTGGTTTGTTTTCTTGAGGTCAATTTCTGGTCTTTACAACACTTTCTATACTTGGGAGGCTTCAATGTAAATATTTTACCAAAGGGATTAATTCTGAAGGAAGAAAGCCGTTCAACGACTTTTAATTAACTATGCTAATATAAATGAGAACTTGTTTACCTGTCTTTTGTATGAATCAGGGGTTTAGAAATTACTCAATATAGCGTATTAACCTTTTCGGAAGCTCGAAGGATGCCGCATGTTAGCCAGCATGTTAGCGAGCATGTTAGTTGCAGCAAGTTGGAATATGCCTCATGTTCTTTACTGTAGCCAGCGTATACAGAAAACGTCTCCACAGTATGTCGCGATTTAAAACGAGCAGTCAATGAACTGTTCGATTCCAACTGGCTCTTCCTATTGTGCAAACTTCCATGATCTTTCTCTTAGCTATTATCTCTTCTGCCAACAATTGCTCTCATAATGCCAACCTCCCCCACCGACATAGCCAACCTCTACAACATTCTCGGCGCCGGCGAGCTCTCACGCCTCGACACTCATCCTGTAGAGCTCCTGGTGACTCTCCGCACAATAAGAGAAGCCCTTCCCCAAGCACCCCAGCGGATTGCTGACGTTGGCGGTGGTCCTGGAAAATATGCGTTTGCCCTCGCCGATCAAAGACATTTAGTCGATCTCGTCGACCTTAGTCCCGGGCTAATCCAGATCGCTCAAGTTGAGCAAGACAAACGTAACGCTGCTGGGCAGAAAAGTCTTCAAAGCCTTGCAGTTGGAAACGCTCTAGACCCGAATATTTTGCGACATGGTATCTACGATGCTGTACTGCTCTTGGGACCCTTATATCACTTGGTAGAGGAATCGGAGCGAGTAAATGCTGTCGCTAATGCTGTGCGGCTGGCGAAGCCTAAGGGCGTACTTTTTGTAGCATTCGTAAGCATTTCGGCGCATCTGAGAGATATTGCGATGAGAGATCCAAGCAGACTCATTGCAGAGAAGGAGTTCTATGCCAAATATGTATGTGTATTTTCATCTCCACTGTTTAGTTGGCCCAGCTGACCCCTATCAACCTGCCTTAGCTTCAAGACGGTCGATACGAGAAGTTCAAGCCCGGGGTCGGGAACGTCCATAGCTTTCACACGCAAGTGAGCGATATTAGATCTTTTTTTGCCGACAACTTCGCCGACACGCTAGAGCTCATGGAATTACGATCGCAAGAAGGTATCCTAGGTGGTAGTCTTGATAGTGCATTATCCAAGTCTCAGCCGCAGGTTGCTCAAGCGTGGGCCGACTTGATGTACGAGAAGTACTCTACTGGAGAGGAACATCTGGGATGTGCGGATCATCTAATTGCAGTTTTGAAGAAGAAAGACTTGTGATATACTTAGTGTAAATACACACATATATATATATAAATAATAAAACGCGGCTAATTATGAATAAAGTAAGGTCAAGCAATCTCTCCTTTCTCTCCAAAATCCTTAGGCACTTCGGGTCCCCAAATAGAAAATGAGCCCACAACATCTCTCTCTGTAGGAGTGTCCTGGTTGACCACATCTCCGTCGGCGTAATGTTCTATTTTGAAACCGCTGGGATCCGCCCAGTAGTCAAAGATCTGGCTGCCGAGTATGTGACGACCTACCCCCCACACGCTCTTCCAGCCCTTTTTTGCCAGCCAGTTGTGCCCAATAAGCTGCGTGTCGAAGTCCTCAACCTCGTACGATGTATGATGAAGGAACGTCTTCTTAACGCGTGGTTCGGCTCGCTGCATAAAGAAACAATGATGGTCGGAATATTCCTTACCCAAGTCGAGATGCATAAACGTCAACACATCCATGTTCGAAAAGTCCCAGTGATAGAGAATGTCAGATGGCACAAAGTTGAAGTTGTCGGTGTACCATGCCAGTTCGGCATCAAAGTCAGGAACCACGTAGCCAAAATGACCTAACTTATGGACGAGTGCCGGTCCCTCGTGACAGCGCTGAAACTTGCCTAGTTGTTCCTTAGCAAAAACAACATGATGTAGGCCGTGCAAGCAATGATTGCAGTTACCTCGCCTCGGCTTCTCAAACGGCTTGTTAAATGGGCCCAGCTGGTCATGTATTGCCGACGGTTCCTGCGCGCTCGTTATTCGCTCTTCCTGACCGTATATAACGTGGAAGAAGGTTTTATCGGGTCGATTGAACGTGACGATCTGGCCTTTACCCGGAGCCTCATCTAAGGACCCAATGATGGCGCCATCTAGCTTCGTAGCCTTGTTAAACTCGTCTTGCGATGCAGCTACAAACGCTGGGCCGCGAAACCTCGGTTTTCCATCCGGGCTATGTGAAGCGACATAGATGAACGGGTCTCTCCCGTAACCACGATAATAAATTCTGCCATTTATTCTGTGAGCCTCTACAAACCCGAAATCCTTTGCGAATTCGCTGAACTTCTCCAGGTCAGGATGTTCGAAATGCACGTGAGCTATCCTAACGAGTTGTACTTTGGAAGGATTATTCGATATTGGCGGGATGCGCATGTCTGGCATGATGGTTTCGCGTAGAGGTCTTGGCAATTTTTCCAGTAGCTTAATAGCAATTTCCAAGGCAGGTGGCATGTTACAGGCCGATGAAGAGAGCCTTTGAGATTTTGGCATGTTTGCATCTACAATATTTATACGCCCTATGGAATGCCGTAAATATTAAGTGTGCATACTCTCTACACCTTAGTGTGTGGTTCTGTTTACATGCCTTGGGTACATGTAGTTATTCCGCGGACCATCTCTAGTAGCGCGCCCGCAATCCGGAACATCAGCCAGGCTCAATCCCTCCGCAGATGCGTGTTTCTCGCGGCACGTTCTCTAGCAAGGGCATTAGCTCATTATGTCTAGTTGCAGGTTTGTCGGAAGGATTTATTCTCAAGATTTATACCGCGGTGTAACTGATCAATTGAGTAAATACACCCAAAGATTATTCGCAAGTCCATTATAGCGTGGGTATATGATCTTGGTAGACGTGGAACTGACTCGGGGATCGAGCGCCACGACTGGCAGATTGCCGACGGTAATGTGAAATGTTAACATAAATACTCCTATTGAACATCAAATTTTATGAGCAAGGCCAATACAAACAGCCTAGTCTCATATGAGAACTACCTAGTACTCAATGGAAGAAACACAAGTTCTCATTGTTGGTGCTGGGCCTTCCGGCCTGGCTCTTGGTCTTGCACTGGCCAGATTTCAAGTCAGAGTAAGGTTCTTATGTGTATTCTCGTCGTCATCATTGTTAACCAAAGGAAAGTCTGTCATCCTTGAGAAAGACAGTGAAGTGACTACAGACCCTCGGGGTGTATATCTCACAGGAGACGCTGTGAGGATCCTCTATGACTTGGGACTAGAGAATGAGGTATCTACTATCGGACATGGTAGGTACCGTAAACGGCCACGTTTCGAGGGGATTTGGGTGATATAAGCTGACCGAATGATACATTAAGAGGTTCATAAGATCAGTTTTCATCGATCCACGTTCGGCACGAAGCCATACTATCGTATGAACATCGGCACGCGGGATGTCCTACAGCAGGCAGTACCGGAGGGAATCTTGCAGAGCCAACCACGGCTAGGTTTGTTCGTCTAGCATGAGATATACCGTCCAAGTTCTAATCGTGAGGATTTTGCAGAGAGCGCACTTCGGGAGAAAGTGAGGAACTCTAGATATTGCACCCTCCGAACAGCCTGCCGTGTGATAAAAATAACACATGATGATTTGCCAAGCGCCGAGTACATCGACGGGCAAGAAAAAAGCCATCAGATTAGGAGTGAGTGGTTAGTGGGCGCTGATGGCAAAGTAGGCATTGTACGAAAGCACTTTCTGGAGCCGACCGCGGGCATCATTCAGGAAGAAGGAAAATATCCGTACAACGGAACTTGGATTGCGGCTAATTTAAAAATTACGATTCCAACGCCACAGACACACCCGACCTATCCTTTGTGGGATCTTGGGTACTCTCCTGAAGCGGTATACGACCTCTTCTGGCCAGAAGGGTGGCACTTTTGTGGCCCTCCCGGTAAGGCAACAGCAACGGGGCGATTTGGTCCACCTAAAGAGAGGATGTGGAGGCATGAGCTATGTCAGTCCGACTGGGATGACTCTATGGATGCAGAGTCTCTGTTTTGGGAGCATCTCAAGCCTATGATCACGAGAGAAAGGGATGACGATCGAGGGTGCGATTTCTCTTCTCCCATACCGTTTCCTGTGGATTGTATCACGATCCTCCGTTGCAGACCGTACAGATTCGCTCATAAAGTCGTCAATCGTTGGTTTCACAAACATGTCGTTCTTATTGGAGATGCGGCGCATGTGTTCCCCCCTTTCGCCGGTCAGGGTATAGCAAGCGGCGTGAGAGATGCGCATCAGCTGGCGTGGCGCCTTGCCTTGCTCCTCCGGTCCAAGTCTCAAGGCGAAGCACTGGTCAATAACATACTGGGTTCCTGGGCTCTTGAGCGGCGGAAAAGCGTGGATGATGCAGCCAAGTTTACAATGTTAAACGGCTATTTGTGTAACAACGAGCCATCAATCTGGCTCCGCATGCTGCTACATCTAGCAATGTTTCTCGAGTCTAACCAATTTTCTTTCCAGTTTCTAGACCCCCAAGCTATCGTGGAGCGCCGTGGATTCACCCACGTACAAGGAGGGCTTTTTCTCGAGAACAGTCACGGCGGCGCTCGACTCATGCAGATGTATGTGCAGTCGATCAAAGGCGTGTCCATCTTATCAGACACACTACTGCGATCCGGTGATTGCATCTTCACGATTGTCGCTATATGTAATGGTGTTGATGATAGCCGAATTTACCAAGACGCAAAAGAGGCTGTTGAGGGCTCAGGAATGGACCCAGCCGTTTTATCAACATCGTCAATTGTGCTGCTCAGTCCAGGTTACAGCGGCGAATGTATCAAACCAGTCGAATCCGTCAGCGGAGAGCAAATCCAGGTGTTCTCGCCAGCAATGCATCCTGGTGGGCAGCCCGGAATGAGCCCTCAACAGAATGGTCATGCATATCTGGATCGCCTCGGACGTTCAACACGGTTTGCCATCATACGCCCTGATTTTTTTGTCTTTTCCTGCTGCAAGAATGTCAAGGAGCTAGAGCAATCTCTTTCACTACTGAAGAAGAGACTAGTTCCTCAGAAGTAGGCAACACGTGGGTGGCTGTCTAACATAGCTCTTGCATATATCCATTTAGTCGTCAATCTAACTAATCTTCTCTGTCTACATTCTCATTACGGCATGAATGTTTTATAACTTTTGCTCCAGGGAAGCGCTCATCTCTTCTGTAGTTGTGCCGAGTGAAGTAATTCAGCGAGGCGGCATTCGCTTGTTGCGCAATGTGACACAGCTTGCGGTCACCTGCCACACTGTCATTAATCGACTGTAGATTCCAGACCACCAGGGATTAACGTGATGAACCTACCTATATCATTATCTCACGCTATCAGACATCTGCTTTGACAGGAGGCTCGAGCGATCCATGGCACCGCCAAGGTTATAACCCCAACTCAGCACTTAACTCGACATTACCGCCTATATTACTAAGAATTAATGAATATATATACTTCGATGTTCTCCATCTTCATATTATAGTCAAATATTTTCAGGCAGGTAAGTGTATTGTTTAATTACCTACGGTATATCTAGGCAGTTGGGTTCTTAATTGTTTAAATGGGGGACTGATATCCGAGATAGCAGGATAAATCTTATCATTGTCACATCCACCGTGTAAATAATTTGATTGCAGTCATCTCTAAGTATATGATGAACCATGTCCATGTTCTTATTCTTCGCCAATCCTGTTAGCAGCGAGTCTGAAGTGCCCATTGTTTTTGGGCCTGATGGCTTACTCAAACTTCATCTTGTTACGAAGCACCCCAACTTTCGCCATCTCGACTTCTACCACGTCACCATTTTGTAAGAAAGATTTGGGTTTCATGAAGGCCCCGACGCCTGCTGGAGTGCCTGTCATAACCGCAGTGCCGGCAGGAATAGTGGTGCCTGGAGCTGATTAATTCATGGCCTTCATAAAACTCGCAGTAATTATTTACCTTGGCTCATATGGCTTAAGATTTGCTCTGGAGAGAATACCATATCCGTCTGAAACTCTGCCTCCTGTCTTACTTGGCCATTGACCTTGGTAGTGATAGTGAATGATGCGCCGTTGCCAAAGATTGCTGGGCTGATTAATGACGGGCCGATAGGTGCAAACTTGTCAAACGCTTTGGCGAAATAAAATTGGCCTCCCTGATTCTTGGGAAGCTGGAACATACGACAAGAGAGGTCGAGGCCAACAGTGTAGCCTAGAATGTAATCTTTGGCCTCCTTAGGCGACAAATCTTTACATTCCTTCGACGTAACAAAGACCAGCTCACCCTTTTCGTAAAAAGAAAATAGTCATTAGCTAGGCTCAGCTATCGAGACTGGTCTATAACATATACGTACCTCGTAATCCAAAAGACTCTTGGCGCAGAAGTCATTAATTGGGATATCTTCATCAGGGTGTGCAAGCGTCGCTGCTGGCTTAGTCCAGACCGGAGGGTACGAAGGTATCTCGAGCTAATGGTTGAAATACTTGTTAAAAGAGCTATGAACTCATCTTGTTCGGAGGGGAGAAGTTTCCATACACCAGCCTCTTTAGCGTGGCTTCGATAATTGAGGCCGACGCAGTATATCGGAGCTGCGGATTGCGGGAGCGGAGCTAATAGCTATGAGGGGCAATGCGCAAGACCATTAAGAGAGAGCTTTTAATTAAAGTCGTGAAGAACACATACCCGTCGTATTGTTACAGTCTTCTTCCCAGTGTTGCTAATGAGTTGGTCTATTGAAGGATATCCACCCAGTGTTGTCCCTGGAGGCGGCGGCCCGTTGGCGTTATCGCCGAGGTCAGCAAAGAAGTATTTACCATCTTCATCACATTGGAAGTGAATAAGATGCGAGAAGGGCAACATGTCGACGGTGGCAATGCCAAAAAAAAAAATGGTGTCGAGGAAGATTCTAGAGCGGGATGTGGTACGAGGCGATTATATCACAATATGCCTTCAAAAAGGATAGTTGGTAATGAAATTGCGAGAGAATATATACCGTTCTCATCTTGTGTACATCTATTCTCGCCACCAACCAAGCAGTTCGGAGCAACTTCTTCGGAAGATCTCCAAGAATGAATCCATTCAACAGAATTTAGGTGGAGATATGCTTAAATGAGATCTGAAGGCAGATCCCACTTATGTAATGAAAGCGGCGCCTCGGAGCATCTTTAAATTGGGCTAACGCGTTGGCTCCAATTCGTCCGACAACATTCCTTGTGCATACGCAGAACTGGGTGACCGTGATAATCCCTACAGTATAGGGGCTCAACGACCCGGAAGATTTGCGATCTGGCTTTTGGGGTGCATGATGGAGTCACCGCTTCTTAACCTTGAACCAGACTCGATCGATTGTGTCAATCCCGGCAACTCGCATTCGTTAGAGAGCACAGATACACCACGCTCATCGGCTAGCGGGAGCCGGACTTCGATTTCCCGAGTCTGTGATCGCTGCATTCGGTGAGCCCGCCTTCAACGGCCGTATCCTTACTCCCTGTACTGCATCCTAGTGAATTTTGACAAAGGAACACTATAGGAAGAAGATAAAGTGTACGTGTAGTGTCTTCAAAATCGTCTCTTGCTTGGTCGCTGTTTAATCCCTTGCTGATCTTTTCGTCGAAACTTGGGCGTATCACAGGTGATACCCAGCGACCAACGTGTTCCCGCTGCTCCGAGCATGGGCATACTTGTGTATACTCGTACACGCGGCGCAGGCCTGGACCTGCAAGAGGTTTTCGTCGAAGCCGCCGTTCGCCGAAAGAGACGCTAAATCATCCCGACCATGACCGTACGCTGCTAAGTTTTATCTTAACCCTTTCTGACATTTATGGCCTATACCATGCAGGATATGGAACTTCAAATGGACTATTATCGTAGTATGTATCCTGTGCTGATGATTTCCTTGTTATCATAGATCAACGTCCCTCGGTTGGCCCTCCATCATCAGCGGCGGAGCCTTCTCCGCCTTCTCCGGTTGCCAATTCTAATTGGTATGGATATACTGAGCCCCTACAGCCGACATCCTCTGGCAAAAGTACCCGAGGATCTGATGACTCCATCTCGTTGAGCATTCCCGTGGAGGAACAAAGCTACCTGTACGTTCGTCTGGTGGACAGGTCATATTCGTGACTAACCCGATTCTTGCAATTCCAACAGATTGGAGGCATATCTTGACAACATTCATGAAGGGATTCCGATTTTCATAAACTCCCACTTTCTCTCTGATTGCAGGAATTTGGTATACAGCCACGATCTGATATTGACAATAGTGGTGATAACTGCCAAGCTGACTGGATACGTATTCACTACTGCGACCTTCGACATTGATTCTTGCATTGATGAAATCTTGAGCGCAGGGTCACTTGAAGAGGAGATGTTTGGCAATTCACCATCCATCGACCAATTTCGCAAAAGTTGTCTTCTAGCCTTCTACGAATTCCACCAGTTTCCGGGGAGGCAGGCATGGATGCGCATCGGGAAACTTACACGCATGGCCATGTGGACAGGATTGGATCGTCTAGAGATTATCAAATCGAAGTATCCCAGCTGGAGAACAATGACAGAGCGCCAGCTGGAGGAATGGCGCCTGATATGGTGGTGCATCTATCGCCTAGATTCCTACGCCAATCTATCTTCTGGAACTCCCTATCTGATAGACGAAACACTTGCTTATACCTCTCTTTTGCAGGAAGTTCCTGGAAGAGCTCCTATAGAGGATCAGCATGATTCAGTACACGAAAACTTCTTGTTGTCATCGCATCATAACAGCCTCTGGGGGGCCATATCTATCATATCCTCTCAGTCTCGGGAAATATCCTCGTTTAATTTCCATATTATCACTACAACTCTCCTACGTGCGGCGGTGCGGGCTATACGTGTGCACAGCCTTCAACAGCAGCCAGAGGTTCGCTGTTTAGACGATATTGAGCGACATCTCTCGGCAGTTCGTCTCTCTTTACCGACAAACTACCTCAACACCAGAAGGAATGCGTTTTCGAATGAGACAGGGCCCGATCACCATGCAAGGCTAGTCACACTATTCCACTTGAACTTGGTGCAGTTTCTTCTCTCCGTCATAAACTGTTACAGACGGGAACAGGACGATGAATGGATTTTAAGGTGGCAGAGGGTCTATGAGGCGTGCCAAGACCTGGCGTCAATATCAGAGCAGTGGAACAGTTCACACAACCTCAGAGTTGACCCGGCGATATCAATGATAATCTTCGCTGCTCTGATCTTCCTTGATGTGCACAAGAAGTCAGCTAGTGCGTTGGTGTGGGGTTCTCACTCTTCCATTGAGCATTCCGAGAGAGTCTTGATGATGCAACTGGAGCAACTTGCCACCATATGGACTCTGCCAAGACTACTCACGCGTATGTTTGCCCCTTAATATATGAATCCGGAGACCCAGGTAGGCTAATACGACAGTGAAAGTCTCCTTGAAGAGTTTCAGAGAGTCAGTGTCCGGCCCACTCTCCTTCTCTCACATCCAATATATTCTTTCTCATTTTGAGGCACCGCTACACCCAAGATGGCTACACTTCCTCTCTACCACTCAACCAGGATTAAATGAGTGCCAGTAGCGTATAGAGTATAACTACGAGTTGACAGATTTAATACTTAAGGCACGTATCTGAAGTTCAATACACTTTTCAATAGCAGGAAATTGATCAACCTATATCGACATTTGCAAAACACACATATTAATGTATTATGAAACAAGGCCGTAGTGCATCTAGTAGTGATTTAGTTCATTAGGGCCATATGTCTCCTCATCAGGCACTTCATATTTCGGAAATGTTCTCCATAAGATAAGCAGATTCGCGTTACTACTATAACAACATGGCCAATATACTAGAATCTACTCTTTCGTATTTCTGATTACCTTCTTACAGACATTGCGAATACCACTGGTTGCTTACAGTGCATGTGTAGGGGCTCTGTTGATTTGTCAATATTTGTTATAGCCTGAAGACGCACAGTTACATACCTCGCAAGTAGTAGGCCCTGTCCATCCTTGACCACCACATTGGGCCCAGTGACCCGCCGTGCCTGAGCCTCCATCTCCGGATCCTCCATCTCCAGATCCTCCGGAGCCACTGCCAGGGTTGGTGAGTGTGAGGACACCGGGTCGCCATGGCAGGAGATTATACTCCCCGCTAGAGCCGATAGCCATGCCCTGGTAAAGCAGTTGTAAGTTGCAAGGGTCAATGGTCATGGTCTCATCATTTGTGCTGCGGATCAGGTCGCCAGAGCTAATATCATTAGTCCAAGATGCTCCGCTGTTAGCCTGTCCAGCGAAGGGGTTGCTCTCTGACGCAGCTTGCGCTGTCCATGAACCACTGAGACTACTAGCAGTAAAAGAGCGGAAATACCGCCCCACCGATCCAATACACTCAACGATCATAAGGTATTGGTTCTGGCCATCAACTTTGTAAACCTGTACCGCTTCAAATAGGTCATTGGTAGCAGCAGTCATGATTGTTGTGTAATTTGAACCAAAGCTTGCTGGGAACTGCGAGTTCGGCATGCTGGACCGATAAATATGACCATTATCTCCCGCAAAAAATAGATACATATTTGTGCCATCGCTGATAAGCGCCGGATCAATAGGGCCAGTGCCGGGCAAACTCCCAGTGAATAGGGCTTGGGGTGAAGACCATCCATTTGGGTTCGTAGGGTCACTGGATGTCATATAGTTGAACGGGTATACACCCCATTCTTGTCCGATAACCCAAATCTTTTTTGGGCTGTAGTAAAAGAGGTTAGGAGCAACAGCTCCATTATTCATCGCGTTCTGGCTTGCCGAGCCCATGCTTGACCAGTTTGAGAAGAGGCCAAAGTTCATTGAGGCGTAGGATCCTGCCGAGTCGACGGTGGACGCATAAACGAGATGCTGGCCATTATATGGGATGGCGCTGAAGTCTTTGAGAGAAACCCAGCCGGACTTTGGGGTTGCTAGTGGGCCCGTTGATGTCCACTTGTATGATGATGGGAGTGTACACGATGCCCTGGCCACCGTTACCAAGCTGAGTAAAGAGATGGTGCCGGCTAGCCAGCTATTCACTTCAGAGCCTGTGATTCTCATGGTAACAGATTTTTTACAGATAGATGGAAGAAAGAGATAACTGATGAAGAGCCCGCCTTCCATGTATTTGTGCGGAAGGGCGGGAGCATTTTATACACATATGCTAGGACCTATAACGGACAAGTAAAACACTGTAAATGTCAACAACGGGCTTGCTCACTATAACGGTGCATCGCTTAAATATTGCAGGATATTATTGAAGGCACTAATATCACCCTGAATTGGCAGTGTTTGGGAAAGAATACTATGACAACGTAGCTACTCTAATGTCATAGGCAATACATAACCGCCTGTAGATACGAGCATGGGACGTCATTTCTGTACCCGTGGCGGCTAAAGGGATATTAACCATTCTAATGCGCACCAATTACAGGCCCTTCTTTATAATATCACATCCGGATGGGAAGGCAGAAATCCCAAATGTCACATCATTTATTCTGGAAGTATTGCCGGTTAGAAGAGCCGAACCCGAGTATCTGCAAACCCTGTATAGCCTTTTCGTGATACCTCTTATAAAGGGACTAGCCCCACGTCAAATGGATTGGATGAATATTTACACACAGAGCTGGAGAACAAGTTATTAGTCGTGGTAAATGAGTGCTCTCAGAATGTCAATTGCTAACAGGCAATCGTTAGATTTGAAGGCTGTATTTCAAGATTGCTTGTATTCGTCATTACTGAGGTCAGGGCCACCTTAAAGAAGGGGTCTAATCTGTAGTAATGCAATATTGGTACACATATTGTGTACCGCAATCTAATTCTGCCAGTTGCACTCTTTGTATTATGGTTATGGAGCGTTCAGTTTAGGCTAATGTTACAGCATAATGCTTGTGATCATCCGATGGCAGGTTTCTTCTCGTCTACCAAGCAGAATCACGCAGCCATTGCCGCCCAGAAAGGTTTCACAATCATCGGGTAAAGCCGTGAGACAAAAGATGTCCAATTCTTCATCTCACTTATAAGACTGAGTAGCAAAGCCATCTTTGGCTCTATTTAATAAATCAATTTCCGTGTTACAAAGTGCGAGTTTAATAAATGTGATCTCGTTTAGATCTCCGGCAGCCGTTGAAATGAGAGGCGAAAAAAGATTGAATCACATCTTCTCAAGACGTACTCCGTACTCCGCACAGGATTATAAGAAGCCTTATTACCAACGCTCTGCCACACAATAAAAGCAAAAGAATGTTCAAGGTATTTTTTCTTTTTTAGAAAATTTGAACATCAAACTATTCCAAGTAACCTTTAGTCGTGAGAATATTACCCTAGGCCAAGGAATACATTGAACACAATGACCCACCGTAGTCATTGCCATGTAAACATTAGTATCAGCCATTGTGGCTTGTTGTGCGTTTTTCTGCAACCTCGATTTAATCTCTTCCTCTTATTTCTGTATTAACTTCTTATAACTACCTAAGTGTGCGCTCAATCGCGATTTCGAGCAGGAAAGTCGCTGTTGCAACCATGGATCGGCAAGTTAAAGTAGCAAGGCGGTCCCGCCATTTCACACTGTAGTGGCTCTGACGCAGTAGAATGATCTTTTGAGACATCCCAAGGAATAGTTTCGACAGCCAGCACAACACAGCTTACAGACAAAAACCAGGACGGCATTGATGTACGCCCTTTCACAGTTGCTACTGTATACATGCATGAGATCTGGATCCTTGTATGATGGCCGGTCGATTATCCACGATGAGTAGTACTCCACTAAGCTGGTCTAGTCTTCTCATTTGCGCCAGACACAGGCGGTGCTGCTAAGGTCGCTCTCCGCTAGAAAGTTCTTCTTCAGAAGCAGCCCACCTATGGTCGCTCTGTTGGTTCCATGATCCATTTCCAAAATTGAAACGTGAAATAGAACTCGATAATGCTAATTCTAGGTATACTTCGCGACCTGCCCGTCACAACGTGATGAAAGTCCACTTTACAGCCCGAGAGAGTTAAAAAAGACAAAGAAAAACACTCCTCATTTATCAAAGGCAGGGGAGAAAGAAAGAATTTTTTTTTCTTTAAACTAAATCTAGTGTTTCTTTTGCCGTAGACTAATCCGGACATCAAAATGTGAAGGCTTTACAAACGTAGCATTTTTTATTTTCCAATCTTGCTCTGGATCATTCAGCGTGACCTGATACTGTGTTAGATTTATACGTCTCATCAAAACTCTCAATACCGCGTTTAATCAACTAGGAAATCTTACCTGAAATCTCTTCAAGATAGATGGTACCACTTTGTAAACTTCCAAAGTGCTGATGTTCTTCCCAATGCACGTACGTGCGCCCTGCCCGAAGTGGAACAGAGTTGAATTCATGACTTTCACTCGTTGGTCGTCTTCCAACCACCTCTCAGGTCTGTATACGTCAACATCTTCGCCAAAGATACCTTTGTTCTTGTGAATGACCCAGGCATTACACGATACGATTGTCCCTCCGGGAATGAACTCCCCACATATCGTACTGCCGTTGGGAGGAACCACGCGTTCCATATCAAATGCAGGTGCCGGATGCATCCGAAACGCTTCTTTGACACACGCATCAAGATATTTAAGCTTATTCGCGTCTGCAAATTTCACTGAAGAGAAGGGTTCGTCAGAATCATCAGAGGGCAACTCCGTGTCGATCTCTTCCAATAACTTGGACAGGCATCGGGGGTTTTTCAGTAAGTAGTAAAAGACCGCACTCAGCGAGATTGCGGTGGTTTCTGAGCCAGCAAAGATCATGGAGAGCGCCATAGCCAAGACTTCTTTATCACCCACAACATCAGGGTGAAGTTCCTTTGCATTCAAAAACTTGGATAGCAAGTCTGGCACGCCATTTGTATCGCTCGGCTTGCGATCTGAGTCTGTTCGTTGTCTCATTGCTTTTACCGCGAAGGGAACAGCTGGAAAAGTGTCGTCATATAAGCCGTGGCGGCTGAGCCACATAAAGAAGGGATTTTTCCAGAATATTTTATCTAGAATAGGCATTTGGCCCACCTAATAAAACTTGATGTTAGCAGTCAAGAAGATCCAGTTGTCAGGGTTCAGTCACATACGAGAACAAGATAGCTCATATACTTATCTAAATATGCGATAATACCATCAACGTCTTGGCCAGATTCCAAGAACCCATGTCTTGAGCTATAGGTCAATTCTCCAATGACATCAAAGGCATAATATTGTAGCCAAGTCGGAAAGTCAATGACGCCTTCGGTGCCCTGTTTACCGGCAAATCGTTTATTCAACTGCCTTAGAAAGAGATGAACTGTAGTGTCGACCAAAGGTTCATACTGGACTAATGTGCTGAGGGCAAAAGCATTATTCACACATCGTCGAAGCTGAGCGTGAAATGATTCATTAAGATTTGAGAATAGAGAAGGAAGCGGTGTTCCTTTGGACACACTTGCAGCCACCCAGTAGAACTCAGACTGATAATATACATGATGTCAGAATTTGAAATAAATAAATAGTGACTTAATTCCGACACGGACCTTGACATATCCTCTGTTTATACTGTATATGTCTTTTAGTGCCTCTGGATTTGCGAATGACAGCTTCTGCGGCCCAGCTCGAACAATGTCGCCATACTTGGCATGAAGAGCAACGGACGGTATCTCATCTCTATGAACTCTGGTGTACCGATATCGCCAGTAGTCTGTAAAAGATGCGAGTAGCGGCCCTCTATACTTGTTAAATCCGTGCCGATAGCGGATATGCAAACACCATCCTAGGATGATGAAGGGTATTGCGTAGAGGAATTTCTCTTTCAACAATATGACAATATCTTGGAGCATCTTTAAATCTCTATATTGTACTGGAAAATCACAACAGAGTTTTACAAGCTTCTATCCGTTTGCGGAGATTACTTTGCAAAAGATAGGTTGCATGTTTATATAACCCTATATCATCGGGTGCGGCCGAGAATAGATATCGATGGAGCATGGTAATTGGTTCATCAACTGTTCCCTCTGCTGTGCAGAAGCGACCCGCCGGTCATCATATCCGAAAAGAGATGTGGAAATGTGATTTCTTACAAATCCCATTTCAAAGCCCAATTCTCCATGTAGCCGCCTCGATACTGTTCAATCCCGTCGCCACCCCCAATATCAAGACAACGTTACCGAGCTCTTGGAGACGCGGAGAACTTCAGTAGTAACTCGACCGCGAAAGATGGAGCTGCAACGTCGTTATTGACCACATAGCATCTACCGTAGAATACTTTCTCTCGAACGCGACCGCCGTGCCAACTGATGATCGCACATTGTACGGGCCAGACAGCGCACACATTCTTTGACGTTACATCGCTAGCAGCATGTTTGCAGAAACAGGTACGTAACTACTTTAAAAATGCGACTTTTCATAAAAGAGTTATTGGCCGACCGATGTTGAACTGGCGCGAAGTGGGATTTCTCCGCAAACACAGCTGCCTTGATAATGAAAACTCGGACCCGGACCCGAGCTCCGAGGTTTTGATCTCTTTGCCTTAATCAGTGATGATCAACCAACAAGTGAATTTCGGCAAGGCAATGGCTGCAGATTACAAATATGACTAAAATATTGAGATTTAGCAGATTAAGATGGAAGTGCTTTCTCAATGGAAGATATTAAGCAACCAGGCAGGCAAAATATACATATCTTGACCTCCCATCAATGCAATTCTACTGCCGGTGTACATAATTTTGTTGTTTTGTATACGACATTCGAGCGTCCACACCAAGAAAAATGGCAGGTTCATTTCCATGGTCGCATCTAATCCGGTTTGAGAAGAACGGCGTCATCTATTATGGCAATGCTGTGTTCGCGCCGGGTCAAGTCCCAGGCCAGATTACACAGCTTGCAAAATCCGGAGAGCTTCAAGCTCAAGTTATCAAAGGAGATCCACTTTCCCCAGATGCAACATTGACGACTGAGTATCTTCAAGTGGAAAAATTGCTTTGTCCCTTAACATATGATCAAGTGCCCATTATTCGCTGTGTGGGTTTAAATTACATGCAGCACAGTAAGTTTTTACGGGTACCATTGCCTTGATCGTGCGGTAATAATTAATGCTAATTGTTTGAGTTATAACCCGACAGTCAAAGAAGGCGGGCGGACTCCTCCCCCGTATCCATCGCTATTCATCAAACCCAACACATGCCTGGCGACTTTTGATGCTGATATAAAAATTCCTATCATCGCCCAGGAAACGTTGGACTATGAAGGAGAATTAGTTAGTCAATTGACGCCTTAGTAGGGCCATTTTGCCAATTTACTGACACGTCTTATGTAGACAATCGTTATCGGAAAAGATGCTATTGATGTTCCTGAAGAAAGAGTTTTGGACTACATCGCCGGCTATGTGGCATCAAACGACATCTCATGTCGTATTTGGCAACGAGATCCCAAATATGCCGGCAACGTCCCTCAATTGTGCTTTTCCAAGGGATTTGATTCATTTGCTCCTATTGGACCAATGATCGTCTCGCCAACAGTTCTTGGAGCGGCAGATAAACAAACCCTCGAGACTACCGTGAATCATGATCTGCGGCAAGACTCAAATACATCTGACCTTCTTTTCGGCGTACGTCGGATTGTGAGCTTTTTGAGTCAAGGCACTACACTGAAAAAAGGATCACTCATTATGACTGGAACTCCAAGTATGTCTTTTAAATCCCGCCCTAACATTTATATCAGGAACCACTTTTCACTAATGATTATGGTATAGGCGGTGTCGCATTAGGTATGAAGCCGGTGCCTATTTATCTGAAAGACGGAGATGTGGTAAAAGTGGAAATTGGTGGCTTAGGAATTATGGAAAACAAAATGGTTTTTGTATGAACAATCTCAGTTACTATTTCGAAGCTTAGACAGTTACCAACGCAATGGTGCAACATTATAAATTCACTGGTAACTATGAATCAATAGTTCGCGTGTTGGACCATGTTTACATGCACGTTACTGCACACCCTGGCAAGTCTGTGTAAGTTCATCTCATCTAGGGATGCCTCGTGTCGTAGTACCATGTTTGGAGTTTCTACGTAATATGAAAGTGCAAGTCATTACTGTAAACTAAGAACAACGGTGAGATAAACATAAAATGCCTATTGGGAAGATGGTATGGCTGTCTTGATATGTGATCTGAACACGATGTCATCACAACTTCGACTTCAAAAAGTATGACCAGTCACTAGTTTTCGTTTGGTGGAACACTACACGAATTTTGAAGTAATGCGGTAATAGTAAAGCATATTGAAGAAAATTCATTGAATACTATGTGGCGAGGTATTAATTCCTCCCCAGGTACATGCTATTTAGCAACAAATACCGCCTAAGACTGTGTGCTGTCAAGAAGATACATGTCCAAGTTCTCAAGAAGCGGTTTATCAGTCAATATAAATAAATATGCATCTCCTCCAGAGGTAGCAACATCATGAGTTATATGGTTCCATGCAGGTACAGCAAAGGTATCACCTTTGGACCAAGCAACTGTTTCGCCATTGCTTCGATCGTTCCCAAGAATTGTTGTCTTGCCATGTCCCTCTATGACATGGAAGATAAAAGAGCATGTGTCACGCTTGGGACTAATTTTTGATCCCTTGCTTATGCGAAGAGCCATAGCACCGATGGTAAAGGAGATGTGTCCGCCAGTTGCAACGTCATGATATTCCTCTAAGGAGAAATTTGCGGATGAAGCGTCGAGTTTTGCTTTCATCTGAGCCCAAGGGAACCGGAGAGGGCTATCCACTACAGGCCTGAGTCGTTATCAGCATTGACAATGGAATACACGCTGCCAAACAGAACAAACTTACTTGCTTGGATAGCTTGGTTCTGTGTAAGGTTCAGCAAAGTGAACAGGTAATTTATGATATAGAGGCAAATCGAGCCCATCAAGCCAGATCATTGGCGCATCACCCTCATGACCATGGTCATGCCATTGCCACTTTGGTGTAAGTATCAGATCCCCCGGTTCCATATAGACCTTATTGCCACCGACAGCAGTGAAGGCACCAGAGCCTTCAATGATGAATCGAATGGCAAAAGATCGATGCCTATGAGCAGGAGCAACCTCGCCAGGGTTGATCAACTGCAATCCGGCATAAAGTGTGTCTGTCGTAAATGGTGCATCTTTATGAATGGTCAGAAGCAGTTATACGACAGACCAAATGTCATGAATAAAAATATTTACCAAGCTTGGGATTGACGAGCATTAGAACTCGCCGTTCAGCTTTCTCAGCTGGACCAGTTCTACCAGCCTCAAGTAGCAAGGCGTGAATGTCATTGTATCTCCAAATTGATGGCACCGCTCGAGGACTCGGTAGCGGCTTCACCATAGAATGCATGACGGTCCACAGTGGTTCCGCATTCTGACTAGGCAGTTTTGAGAGTAAGCTTTGATCAGTTGAGTTAGACATCGCTGCTTTCCGTTATTGATCGTTAATGTTAAAGATTCGCAGCTGGATTATCGCTTTGTTTCAGAATGACGACCAGAACTTGAATGCTATCGAGCTTCTTCTTCTTGAAGCATTATTTCATCACGGATTTGCTGCCAGAGGGCGAGATTCCTTCGGCATATAACCGTTTCTGAGGATACACCTTTGCCCATTATCGAACAAGTCGAATTCGCATCGTTTTCTCGGGTAGCTCCCGACCTCTTAGTTTGTCTCAAGGCTTTGCGTCTCACAACGATCCATTTCCTTGACAGCGGGAAGTACGGAACATTTCCTAGTACATACTTTTCGGAGCAGAAAGCCGAGTTTATTACTAAGAAAATTCGGCAGCGACAATAAGCATGCCGACAATTAGTCCCGTCCCGCTTGGATGCCGAGAAAGTTACCACGGAACTCATCATCCGAAAAGGTGAAGCTTCGGGCTCCTGCAGTGTCATCTGATAGGGAAGGCTAGATCTATGCAGTACTATCACCATGAAGAAAAAGAGCAAAGGTAAAGCTTGATATATCTGAGAAACTAGTTTCAAGACAATTTTAACGGAAATCTGCGGCTTTACGACTTTTCCTTCTGTAGGAAACTCAGCTGCACCAGCACAATGTCTATCCCGATACGACACCAAGGCGCAATGGCCGATTCGTCTAATATCAGTGCCGTCGACTCAAACATGTATAGAACAATCTTTGGCGACGATGCCATGCGTTTCATAATGTGTGATACGGCGTTCGAAGAGCGCATGGTCCAAGTCGAGATATCGCTCGCTCGTATACAGGCCAATTTAGGTACTATCCCTAAGCAAGCAGCTCAAGATATTGCCAATGACTGCAATGCCGCTAAATTGGACCGTGGACGGCTCCAGCAGGAAACCGAATTAGTTGGCCTCCCTGTCTGGGGGCTCGTACGCCAACTTAGTGCTATGGTGAGAGATGAAACGAGCGCTCGGTATCTACACGGAGGGCTCAATACGCACGATGTCATGGATCTAGCCCGCTCTTTACAGATGAAAGATGCGCTGGAGCTCATTTGTAGCCGATTGGACACCATACGAAATCGCCTAGTGGCACTCACTCATCAGTATCGGAAGACGCCCATGGTTGCGCGAACTCATCTGCAGCATGCTCTCCCATCGACGTTTGGCTATCGTACAGCCATATGGCTTACATCGTTGGATCGACATTCAGAACGACTGCAACAGATTAAACCTCGTCTTCTCTTAGCTCAGGTCGGTGGTGCTTCAGGATCCCTAGCCTCTTTGAGTGGTATTGTCGCAGACTCCACAGAACATGAACCGGAAGGATTAAGGCTTGTAAGGGCTATTTCTGAAGAATTGGGTCTTTATCAGCCAAATATGCCGTGGCACGCTGCAAGAGATGGGCTCGCAGAGGTAGTTTCCCTACTGGCATTGATAGGCGGTTCTCTCGCCAAAATTGCACTCGACGTATGTGGCAAGTATGATTGCGGATTTAACTCTGGGAGAACTTATTGAAGTTTAAAGATCTTGGCTAATTATTCCCTCTAGATCGTCCTGTTGCAAATCCCTGAAGTCAGCGAAGTGGCCGAACCTTTCGTGGCACACAGAGGCGCTTCTTCCACCATGCCGCACAAAAATAATCCTGTTTTGAGTGAGGCCATTCTAGCACTTAGCAAGATGTTGCGTCAAGAAGCTGGGCTGGCCCTCGATGCTGTTCCGTCTGACTTTGAACGAGCGGGATCAGGAGCGTGGCAGCTTGAGTGGGCAGCTCTCCCACAAAGTTTCACCTATTGCTCAGCGGCACTAAAACATACGGAAGAAGTTTTGACAGGTCTCCGAGTAGACGAGAATCGGATGCTACATAATCTGAACTTGTCACGCGGGCTGGTAGCAGCAGAGCACGTAGTTGTGGCACTTCACGAGAAGTATGGTCGAGCACGCTCGCACGATATTGTATATGAGTGCTGTCGCCAAGCTGTACAGAAGAACCAGCATTTGAGCAGCACACTGAAGCAACGAGAAGATGTAACGATTTGCCTTTCTGATGCTGAGATAGATTGGTATTGTGATCCGGCCAATTATCTAGGCTTAACACCGAGATTTATTGATATAGCATTGGCGGGAAGATGACTTGCACATCGTTACTGGTAGAAATATTCAGGCTACTTAATGCTGGGTGGTATTATTTGTATGATGGAAAATACCTAAATTTACGCATATAATGACACCGAGCAGCGAATAAAATTTGTCTCTCGACTCGGGGTTCGGCCGACTGGAACTCGGGCATCTGCCGAGCTATCTAATTGACCATGCAATTGCGAATATGTGGTGCTTGCTTACATTGCTATCAAAAGATTTGCATATATATTTATATCATTCAATCATTACGTCTGCTTCCCACGGAATAGATATCATGTTGTGCTTCATTTCTATGCTGAAAATACGAATTGTTATACCTTCATACGTCAGTCAATATGGCTCCAGCATTAGAACCGCAGTTCATCTTGTATACTTACTTCCGCTCAACAAGTACTGCTCGCGTTCGAACGGCGGCAAGATTGCGAAGTATTCCAATTTAATTCAGATACATCGCGATTCCTAAGTCGGAGCATTTGACAGAATCATACGAGAGCATTAATCCGAATCTCACTGTCCCTACGCTTGTCATCCAGAACGCTGAGACCGAAGTCCATATACGGCAATCCATTGCAATCCTGGAATATTTTGAAGAAAGCAAAGCAGGAAATACGAACATTCAGCTTATGCCTCCTGCGGAGGATATTGCAGGGCGAGCTCATGTACGAGAGCTAGTACAGCTCATTGCTTGCGATATTCAGCCGCCTACCAATCAACGTATTCTCAAGAGGGTACGCACCATTGGGGGATCTGCTGAGGATTGGGCTTACGATATTATGAATGCCGGGTTGAAAGCTTTTGAAAGCATGGCCGCTCCTCTGGCTGGCACGTACTCATACGGCAATTTCTTGACTTTGGCCGATGTTTTGCTGGCTCCAGCTATTGTGAATGCTGTTCGATATGGCGTAGATATTGAGCAGTATCCTACTATTAAACGGGTTTACAACAAAGTAATGGAACTAGATGCCTTCAAGTTGGCTGACTGGCGGCATCAGGAGGATACACCAGTGGAATTCCAACAGGTTTCTTAAATATGCAGTTTCAGACTGCAGAACAGTTCTTGAGGTGACTTATGGGATGCGTCACAAAGCAAAGTAGATATCCTAGTGACAATAGATGATCATATGGCTATTCTTCCATGTCCTCCTGCAGATATAGGCGTAGACAAGTGCTATTGAATCCATGCATCGTCAACTCTTGATGATGCCTTAAAACTTCGGATCTAGATATCTCGTTCTTAAAGTTACATGGCAACCTTTGCCGGAAATACCATTGCCTCTGGGCGTACAGTTTCATCAAACTTCTCTCCAGAGAGCATCCGAAGCTCGATAACGCTTTCACGAAGCGTGATACCTTTTTCGTGAGCGTATTTGGCCACTTTAGACGCAGAATCATACCCAATGACGGGACTTAGAGCTGTTACCAACATCAAGCTAAATAGATCACCGGATGTTACTAAGGTTCAACATGAATTGGTATGATGGGAATACCTTTTATGCAGCGTAGCTTGTATGGTTGCCTGATCAGCTTCGAGGCCCAGAAGCAAATTATTTCGAAAGCTATTCATACCATCGCTGACAAGTCGTATAGAATGAAGGACACTGCTTATGATAAGAGGTTTGAAAGCATTGGGTTGGAATTGGCCGCTCATGCTGCCCACAGTGACAGCAGTATGATTGCCCATCACTCTCGCGCAGATCATAGTCAGCGCTTCACACTGTGTGGGATTAACTTTGCCTGGCATAAAAGATGATCCAGGCTCATTTGCTGGAAGTTTGAGCTCTCCTAGGCCACATCGTGGGCCACTGCCCTCGAAGCGAATTTCCTGGGCTATTTTGAAGAGCGCACAAGCAAGAACGTTAAGAGCACCAGAGGTGCTGACGATTGCGTCATTTGCAGAGATAGCCTCAAATTTATTTGGTGCCGTCTTGAAACCAAGGCCTGTCTTACGACTCATAACTTCAGCAAAATGCTCTGCGAAGCCTTCGTATGTATTGAGGCCAGTGCCCACGGCGGTACCACCCATTGCAAGTTCGAGGAGATCGGGCATAGTAGCTTCAATGCGAGAAGTACACTTCTCAATCTGCGCTGCGAAGCCCGAAAACTCCTGCCCAAGCGAAAGCGGCACGGCATCCTGGAGGTGGGTACGTCCAATTTTAATGATGTTATTGAATTGATGGCATTTGCTTTCTAAAGCCTGTCCAAAGTCGCGAAGTGAAGGCAAAAGCCTTTCATTGAGATCCAGGACGGTGGCAACGTTCATAGCCGTGGCGAATGAGTCATTAGAGGAACCTGAAAGGTTCACATGGTCATTCGGATGCACAGGTGACTTGGAGCCGAGTTTTCCGCCCAGAATCTCGATGGCTCGATTTGAAATGACCTCGTTTGCATTCATATTGGTTTGTGTACCTGAGCCAGTTTGCCAGATAACCAAGGGAAAGTGATTGACCAAGGCTAGTGACGACACTTCGGCGGCAGCTTGCATGATGACATGCCCTATGTGGCTATCTGATATAAACACGTTAATTTCCGAACTATTTTATTGAAGAAATTGGTTCAAATGAGAGTAAATTGCTCTACCAATGGCTTTGTGTGCTACATTAACTTCTGCAGCGGCGCCTTTGAGCAATCCATAGGCTCTAATGACTGTAGCTGGCATGCGATCTTGCGGTTGATTGATGTCAAAATTCTTGAGTGATCTATATAGCTCAGTTAATAAATATATGTGCATCAGGTTTTGGTTGCTGCTATGTAAACTTGTACTCTAGTGTCTTTCGATCGCAAATAGGCACCTTGACACACTAACCTCTGTGTTTGAGCACCCCAGTAGCGGTCTGACGGCACCTGTCATCAATGGTTGTCCGATGAGTATGTAAATTGACTACGTAGTATCATGCGGTATCTGTTTGGATCAAAGCTTCAAGAGAAGACTCACCTCGATCTCCCCGAAGGCGTCTGTCTCACACCTAGTGACAAGCTTGCGCTGGGACATGATTTTTCCTACTATTGACGCGGTGTAATATTTGAATCGAGATATAGAACACAGTCATGGAAAGAGTAGTATGTAAAAAATGTGATCATCCTTTACTATTTGACTTAAGTAAATGCCCACCTCCCACAAGTATCTGCAACCCCTTCTAGTATAGCATTCGACGACCGAATTAGAGTCCGAACATTTCGCAGATTGTACTGCATGGCCCGTACGAAAAAAAAAAAAAATTAACTTAGCTACAACTATTATGGTGCGGACTACATTTATCGTGACATTAGGTATACTCATAACCAGCCATCCAGGGTATGACACTAAAAAGTTCGGGAGCGCCCCGAGTTTTAATGGCCCCAACCAGGTGAAGCATCGCATGTTAGATGAAAAAGTGTGGAGAGAGTTTGGGGAAGCAGCCGAGCTTCCTTTCCAAGTCCAAGTTCATTGGACACTATGATATCAGCTATATGCCAGATTGATATCAAATCAATTGACACCTAATGCTATGATTTATTTATGTTTGGATTTAAACATCTCCATATCGTTGGAAGCTAGTTATACGGCGTTTTGAGTACATATATGTAGTTTTCCTACAACGGGCCCCAGCAAGGCTGTAGGATATTAAGTCTTCTGTTCCTTCGGTCTGACCTGGACTTGTCAAAAAATTGGATAATATTTCGCAGAATGACTCAATACAGGAGGAATTAGAATATTCAGCAAAACACTTACGCAGCTATAGTCTAATGGGAATGGTAAATGCATGTAGGGTTTACTTGTCTCGTATAGCAGAGAAAGGACGATCTATACCCAACGGATAATCATTATGCCACAAGCTAGATGTCACTAGAAAACTCCTCCTTTGGGTGACACATCCAGATTTATCCTTACCAGGCATTTCTCTACCTCTGTATAATGCAATTCAAGCTAGCGGCTGTTTTAGCAGTTTGTGGCGTGCGGGGTCCCCGGACTTTCCAGGCGAGCTACCTCTACATTATAATTCAGGAGATCAGCCATTGAGATTCGTTGCTCTCAGTTACCATATCTAGCGTCTCTTCATATGCAATCATATTAAGCCTTGTTTCTTCAACATAAACTGCACTTACTCGCCCACACTTTTATACGTATGGTTCTATTCTCTCTTATCAGCAAGTATTGAGTATGATGGGAGAGGATAATCCCCAGCCTTCGGCATCGGCGGCCGCGACACAAGACCAGAGCAACAATCTCAAAGCCTCTGATCTAAATGCCTATAACAATGGAGAGTTCGAAAGCTTTGCTGAACGGTGGCCCAAACGACCTAAAATCTCTGTTGCCTGCGAAGAGTGCCGACAACGGAAAGTGAAATGCGATGGTGTCCAGCCCCGTTAGTAACCCTTCTGAATGTCTTGAATGGAAGGGCAGGCCGTACTTAGATACACACTTGATGCTAATATCTGATCATTCCAATCCAGGATGCGGCGCTTGTCGTCGACGCCGACGACCGGCTCCAAACTGCGTCTACAAACCCGAGCGTGTCAAGACTGCATATTCTCATGAGTACTTATGCTTTTATCATCTTTGCATGTATGTGTTGCTAGGTCTGACATGATACGTAGATACGTCGCAGCTCTAGAGAGTCGGTTGCGTATGTTTGAATCAGCAGCTGCGGCGACTAATTTAAGTCAGCCTGTCGCTTCTCAAGTGCATGAGGATGTGAACGCCTCCCCTCCAGCAAATTCATCACCCTTGAGCCCACCACCGAGATATTCTGGAGAAGAGCGGCTTCAACAGAATGTATGTATGAATTCATCATGCTCCCATATTTTCTCAGCTCATCATAACTCATGAGGCCTTATATCCACCAGGAAACAATTTATACAAAGTCTCACACAGTGGCTCTCACCACCCCTGTCACACCGTCCAACACCATCTCCATGAATAAAAAGGATGGCAGCCTTGAGTTTTACCCTTCACCAAGATACCCAGCTGAAGGTGTCGATGCCATGGGTAACCATGGGTCATCTGAACATGCCTACCCAGAGGGCAGCTCCAGCGCTGCAAGTTTCACTAAGCAAGTAAAGGATGCTGTGGCCTCAAGACTCTCTTTACCTGGACTTGGCGTTGGCATTTTGTCCGGTCACAAACAAAATGAGTTGCTGTTTCCACAGCGGCTAGACTCATTGGCAGAACTATGTGTGGTACCCTCGCGGGGCGCGGCAGATGATATGATGAACCTGTACTGGAATGAGATTCACATTCTATACCCCTTTGTTGATCGCGCAAGCTTTCAAGAGTGTTATAAAAAATTATGGTCGACAGAAGACGAACGTGTCTGCCGCCCAAACCATATACTACTCTGTTCTTTGAATGCTGTTTTTGCTCTAACCTGTCAACTCCGGCGTCGGTCCGTAGCTGATCAGAGTTTCGCCGCAAATATCTTCTTTCGGAGAGCTGCACAGTTGCTTCAGATGAGCTCCTTTGGGGGTGGTTCTCTTGAACTCGTTCAAGCGTGTCTTCTTCTTGCACAATATCTACAGAGTACAGAATCGTCTTATCGATGCTGGGTGGTTATTGGCTTGGCTATTCGTATCGCTCAGTCTATCGGCTTGCATCTACCAGAGCCAGCATACCTCCGATTTGAGAAAGAGAGTGATCGAAAACTCAGCCAACGACTCTGGCATGGTTGTGTCTTTCTAGACCGGTAAGTTACTCCTACAACACGACTTTCTACCCAGAGGCATGCAGAGCGAAGATTTATTTTAATTCTGTAGTATGGTTTCCATGACACAAGGCCGTCCCACGACAATCAGCAAGACTGACTCAATGGCCGTCCCATTACCTCAAAGCGATGGCAGTGATCATGTCTTTTCACCTTCTGTCGCTGATAGAGCAAAAAGGCCACTGTCGGACTGCTATGCCTCGAGGATGGAATTTTTTTCCGAATCGATGAAACTTTATTCAATCACGGGAGATATGTTAGCGATAGTCTACTCTTGAGATCCGTCTAGTTCTTTTGCTCCCCGCTCTGATCTCAGCCCGCAAGCTCGCCTCGACATACTTGACTTCAATACCGTACTACGAATCGATAATTCTTTGCGTCACTGGAAGGAGACGCTACCTTTGTGTCTTCAAACGCGGCCCACTGACTCTGTCGTTGCTGACAAAGACGATCCTGTTCTAATACGGCAAGCAAATGTGTTACATTTACGGTGAATAATCATGAGACCATTGACCTAACTTTTACCAGAGACATGAAGACTAACATCATTAGTTATTTGCAAATCCGTATCTTGTTATTTCGGCCGATCTTGGCTCTTCTACTAACATCGGAGGCATACGGGCTCGACTCAGCGAATGGCGAGTATGAAACGTCTCTTTCTCGTGACATGGGGATTCCCTGTGCCCAAAGATGCATCAATAGTGCTATTGCAATGATCGATCTCGTGTGGGCTTGGCGCAAAGAGAATTTTCCTCATTTTCCCGTTGAACCACTCCCTGCGTAGTGGTTTCAAACTTTTTGTGAGTTCATACATCTTTTTACATGCTTTTTGCTTAATCTTTCTATTTCTCCCAAACTTATTGACCGATCATTCACTAGTTCTTTATACGGCTTCCATTGTCCTCATCCCTGCCCGGCGATTCAAGGCCTGACAAGGCACTGCATCTTCAGCGTCGGTAAACAGATGCTGGCACCGTGCTCTTATTATGATAGAAGATCTTTCTCAGTTCTGTCAATCTGCCAAGCTTTGCTTAACTTCACTGCAATTACTTAACCAAGAGATCATGGGGGAAGCGAATTCTTACTCGGAGCCTCCGAGTTTATCGACTTGGGGTGATCCTACTGCGACCACCACTCTCTTCCCTGAGGTTGAGTTTGATCAGATGCCTCTGGATTATAGTTGGGTTAATTCACTACCGATAGATCTCTCCATCGGTAACGACTTTTTAGCCGAATAATATTTTCCTATTAACACTTCGCTATACAAAGTCACATTGACTAGGCGTAGTGGTAGCAATCAATGTGTGCATCCAACTCAGCCACATGTGACGCATATTGTCAGATACATAATGCTATTTGCAACTCTAATTCTGAAGTAGTCCGTTATCGAGGGTATCAAGCAGTAGGTGAACAAGAATTGTACCAAGATTCCAGAACTATCAGACCACCGAACACAAAGTAATCATAGTAGAATGTACTAGTACAATGCTGATATTTATCGAATGAGAGGAGAAACTAATTTGCTTAAACCATGTATCACCAGGCTGGCTCGGGACGGAGTCCGAAATAACGATGTCGGATCGAAAGTCGGCTGCTACAATTCCGCGCTAAGACCTTCCCGAGTCTGGTGTGGTACGGTGTCGGATCAAAAGCCGATGTGCGAGTTTCTTCGCAAAGGGCTTCCGAGATTGGATTTCTAGAGGCTCATCTTACAATCTACCGAGAATTGGTCATCTTGTAGGATGTCTGACATCTTGTTGGTTGGTAACGCGTATTTTGTGACTGGTGTGACCCGATAATCATCCACAAGATATGGGTCTATGTCTGTGATGAGGAAGCATGCTCGATCAGAATTTGGCGATATATATATACATCTACCTCTATTCGGATTGCTGAGTCTCATGACATTCTTGTGGACTAAAGCATTTCGAGATTGACGATATTATTTACTGATATAGCTTACAATGGACACCTGTTTGGAAAATATTAAGGCAAGCTGCTTCATCTCTTCCTCTATTCAATCCAATGAAGCTCTAACTGACAGTTCATGATAACAGCTTCCTAGCTATCCCACAGGTTCTTACAACTTTATAAAACGGCTATTATCAGCTGACATAGTAACTCCTAATTTGGAGACTTCTGCAAAACCCTTCTCGATTAATGAATCAGCCAGCCACCCGATTTCACCCATCAAACTGACCATTGCTATTATCGGAGGGGGAGTTGGTGGCCTGGCTGCTGCCATTGCTCTAAAGCAAGATGGCCATAACGTAACTCTTTATGAGCAAGCGCCACAGCTCAGTGAGGTAGTATAAAGCGAATCCAATACAACGGACAAATCTCATACTTACACATAAACTAGATTGGTGCAGGGATCCAGATTCCACCAAACTCATCACGCATTCTTCATTCATGGGGCCTCCAAGCGGCATTGGAACGTCAATCCATCCGACCTAGCGGTATCACTTGGCGCCGCTGGCAAGATGGATGTGTTATAGGCCACGCCAAACTGGGTTCGGAAATCCTTCAGAAATACGGATCGCCTTATTATGTCACCCACCGCGCACATCTCCATGATGCTCTATATCAACGAACCAAGGAACTGAAAGTACCAGTAATTCTCAATCACAAGGCGAAAAGTTACGATTTCAACAATGCTAGCGTAACGTTCGAGGATGGCACAGTTGTGGACGCTGACCTTGTTATTGCTGCCGATGGTATGGAACTAGCCCCCACCCTCTCTATCTATCGGCATTGCATTTTATCATAGGAGTAACAGGCTTTCTTGATTTATAGGGTTAAAATCTATCGCTCGAAAGGCGTTGACTAGTATCAATGACAAAGGCCCCGAAGGTCACGGTCTAGCAGCATACCGTTGTACCGTGTCGATGGCCGCGATCAAAGCCGATCCATTGATTAGCCGGATAGCGCAGAAACCATCTCTTAACCTTTGGTGATTATTATGAACCTTTTTTTTTTTTTTCATGAACGGCAAAATTGACTAGACATTGCCTATTAGGGTGGGCCATAATCGTCATGTCATGGCATATCCTATTGCAGGCGGAGAGCGCTACAACATGGTCCTAACGCATCCTGAACCATCATCCACTATCCAGAACCTATCTTCGGACGGGTTAACACAGATGAAATCGCAATTCAACGGGTGGGATCCATGGTAAGTCATTGTATCTGGACATTGGTTCATCTCTGTGAGAGAAAGAATTATATCGCTAATTCGTCTAGCTTGATGAGATTGCTAGATCTGGTAAATGAAGCCGTTAAGTGGCCCATCCAGTCCATTGACGTCCCCGACAGATGGGCCTCTGAATCACGGCGCACCATTTTAACCGGCGATGCAGCACATGCTATGACTCCCTACATGGCTCTTGGGGCGGCTATGGCTGTTGAGGACGCTGCCGCTCTCGCTGCTGCTCTACGGCATATGTCGCAGCCAGAAGATCTCGTTGATATTATAGACAAATGGACGAAGATTCGTATTCCTGGAGTCAAAGCCGTACATGAGGCTAGTATTGCACAGGGGCTGATCATGCATTTCGCTGATGGGCCAGTTCAGCAGGCCAGGGATGTGGCTCTAGCTGTAGAACTGAAAGACTTTCCGTTCGATGAAAGTCCGAATCAATGGAGTGATCCAACTATGACGGAGTGGGTATATAAATACGATGTAGTAGAGGCTATGCACCATGAATGGATAAGATAAATATTTAGCAATAGGTTAGTATTGCGTTAGGCAATTTGATATGTAAAGAAATATAGATTTTCGTCTTTCATTACCTTTGCTTCGAATATTTATGTCTAGAATCTCATGTACCTCTTGTGTTACAGCTTATTTGGCATATAAATTATTTTCGCTGTAAACCGTCTTGACAATTTCAACCAGCTTATCCGGCATATTTAGGAATGGTGAGTGGCCAGACTGTAAGCTAAACGTTGGTATAGGAATACCAGTTGCAGTTTCGGCTTCTAGAACGCTTTTCCTTTGAATATCCACGGGTATGATCTCGTCGAGCTCTGTGTATATCCAGCTACATAGCACGTCTTTCCAAGTAGCATGAGTCAATGGTAATATGAAAAAGTCAGGAGTTTGATAGCTCATATACTGTTTCCAGTAGTTCCGTTCGTCATTATTTAAATCGGAATAAAAGTGGTCGTAAAATGGAAGAAGATCGAGAACGTCGGCTCCATTCGCCTAACGAGCTATTAGTAGGACACTAATTTCGAATTCTAGCAAGTCAGAGAAATCTTGAGTTTCTAGGTATGTGACATACATTTCGGAATGCTGCTCTCGTTGGGCAGATTGCATGTGTACCATCATAGAAAGAAAAAACGTGGTCACCTTCGTTGGGTAGGTAGCCAGCCAGAAATATCAGATGTACGACACCGCCCTTTTTACCCGACTTGTCTCGGTCTGCTTTCCCAAGCCCCTTTGCGGCTTCAATTCCCAGGGGTCCTGCGACCGAATGCATGAAGAGTACCACGTCTTGTTTATTATTAATGACTGATAGGATCTTCTCCCTCCAATACGCAGCGTCATCGTAGAACGATTGGCCCGGGGTGAAGTTAGTACCGCCGTTTGAGGGATTGGTGCCGGAAATTGCGCTAAATCCCCCTGTATGGAGCATGTTCTGTAGGGTCTCGAAGTATTTCGGGTTACCGTGGCCACCGCCGTGGAGCATCACCAATACCGGGTGTTGTTTCTGCGTCATGGTGGCTAATTCAGGGCGATGTATAGTACCATCCAGGGAATGCGAACCAGATCGGCTATTTCGAAAGACGATTAAAGAACAGCAATAGGAGCTGCCGGGAAATAGGAGAAGGTGAAAGAGATGGATCAGTCGATAATTCCATCAAGTCATCTAATTGCGCAATGATAGGTAAGCACTACTAATATTTTCGTAAAGCTAAATTCTTAATAACAACTTAATCAGCATCTATCGTGAACATGTTTGTGTATGTGGTATGTGGCGTCAAATGCATCTGTTAGCCATTTATACTGAAATATCCAAGTGGGGCCTGTAAAGTCAGGCAGCACAAGGAATGTTTCCATCAACGTTCCCGTCATCATTAACTGTACCAAGTATAGCACTCTTCCACAATAGTGTAGTGCTTTCGACTCACAAAAAAGCGCGACTCCTCCACTACGGCACAGCGCTTTTTCGCCCTAGGATACAGTTGCATGGATGTAAGTTAACCCTTCAACCGTCATTACAAACATTATAAATAGCTTCAAGTGTAATATATCCCTCAAGAGTGTATTTTTATTAATCTATAAGCATATAGTGTTCTTTAAATGTCTATTACAAATCTGGCATGATTCATCAAGTACATTGTTGCGAAACGTAAATCTGTTACGCCCATCTTCTACAGGTGCCTGTTCACACCTTTGTAGTATCAAGAGCTATGATCTTGCCACCTGTAACTCCAGCTGAACTTGGGTCGGCCAATCCTCCATCGGTGACGATGTACAATATCTGCTTATCGTACCAATTCCTTCCAAAGGCTGCGCTTGTCGCACCCGCAACTGTCTGGTCCGACTTCCCACCGGCTACAATTTGCTGTTTCCCTGTGGCAGTGGTGATCCGGACGATAAAATTAGAAGGATTCGTCGCAACCCACGCGTGCTCAGCCGTAGCATCTAGCGCAAAATCATCGGCTTGAAATCCTATGTCGATTGGGTACTGCGCGCTCTTCGCGATGGTTTTCACTGGGCCAGCGGCGTTCCCGTTGACAGACAATGGTATCTTGGCAAGGAGAGGAGACTGCAAGGAGTTCGTAAAGTATAGAGATCCATCGTGGATTTTCATGCCATTGATCCCAAGCTGTAGTGCTGCAGTTGTGTTGCGTTTGAACTCTGGAACATCGACGGCGACGCTGTAACGACCGCTAAAGACGTCTACTGCAAAGACTTGGCCAAGGAAAGAGTCGCCTGTAAGAACAACACCGGGTTTGGTAGTTAGGGCGGCAAGACCGTTGAGGAAAACTGCCGGCGGAATCGCAGTAATTTCCTTCCCTGCCGGCTTTTTTGAGCTCGGATTCCCAGTGTTGTAGTCTAGAGTCCATATGCTCCAACTGCCAGGTACACCCACGCCTGTTCCCGAAAAGTTTCCAACATTGACAGCAAACACGTCGTGTCCCACTTCTGCAATTCCCAAACTTACATTGGCGTTAGGGAATGAGTATACGAGCTTAGCAGATCCAGAAAGCGGTTCGACCTCCCAGACCTCAGGCAAGTTGATGAGAGTAACGAGAAGATTACCGTTGGATCGTACGGCAATATTCTCAACCCATGTGTTGTTCGGGAAGACAACGACATCTCGCAGAGCCTTAGAGGCGTGACTGGCTGGTTCTGTGGGCAAACTGGAGACCAAAGCGCCAAAACTGGCAAATACAACAGAAAGGCTTGCAAAATGCATTATAGAAAAGATTTTGCCCGGTGAAAATGACTTGTAATCGGACTATTATTTCTTATTGTTCTGGTAACCTCTAATTGTCTGAAAGGGTAGCGATGGATAGGAATATATAGACGTTACGATATTTGCCTATAGCGAAGAATAGGGCTAGGCCATCGCTACAGGGGTAAAAATTAGATCAGGAATGTCAAGAAAATCCGAGCATCGGACTTACAAAGTCGGTGATAAGCATACGGATAGTCTACAGCCCACAAGCTAGGACAAGCATAAATCGCTGAGTATCTGGAAGCTTGTGTTATAAGCATCACACAATGCTCCGGGCAACGCGCACCATTATCCCAAAGAAGTAGTTTTGTACCAATAGGGAAAGCTCCCGTCTAGTTGAGCAATTACTCAGCGCTTATTAGATTAGCTGAGCATCGGCAAGTATTTGTTAGTTAGTCAATATGTATTAGAAATACGAGAACCCCCCTGCTTAGAGAATATTCTTCTCCATAGTTGTCTTCGCCCGGCTTATAAGTATATAAAGCAAGCTAGCCCAGAATACATAGCAAATTTCGTTTCCATTACAGGATATATTTATGAAGTAGTGAATTGGGAATAATCTCTTGGTTTACACAAATATGTGCAATAACTAGCAGCATCCATAATTTCGACTTGAAGTATAATACCTGGGGATATATCTGCTTCATTGGCGCATTTTTGGGTCCAGGCTTTGCATATCTGCCGTTACCCAGCCTATCAAAATTCGTATCTTTGTTAGCTTCCTAAAATACACTATATCTTCACCACTGAAGACAGAAGATTTTATCTAATCACTCTATATCCTGCTGTAACGCTCTGACTATGGTGAACCGTATAGATAAATGATCAGTAAAACACGTCGTCCAATGGAAGACAAAAGTCGTTGAGAGCACAGAAATGTCCTGGTTGACGTTGGCGGATCGATCATGCTGGATTATTTGGGCGAGTAGCCTTTAGCGTAAAACAAAGAGAGTGTGTCAATGTGAATTAACCCACCTGTTGTTGTAGCGTGTTAATATAAATTGGCAATCTAAATCGTTCAAGTGAGCGCAAGGGAGTGTTTATAATCCACAAGACGAGAAAATATTCCCTCAGTTGGGAATCGGCTACCTCCGTACTTTTATAAAACTAGCATTCATGTAATTACCCTGTTTGTAATCTTGTAGGCCGATTATCTCTACCATAAAAGAGATTGCGTCGTATCATTCACTTAGATTGACTATATAAAGCATGACGTCTAGCTTTTAGTCTATGTTCTCCAAGATAAGGCTATCGACAAAGAATGCAGAGGACCTAGATTGTCCGGGAAGAGATGTGTTTCCAGACGGTATTGTTACTGAGATCTCAAGGAATTGGTATTGAGCACCATTTGAAGAGACATTGATATGGTAAGGGCCCAATCCATCTGTTCCAGTGTGAAATTGAAATTGGTTCTCGACATTAACATTGCCAAAATCAGACTGTAAAGTGCTTATAATGACAGTTACATTGCTTGAATTGAGCTTCGACGCCGGTTAGCACAGTTTGATCCTAATCTCAGACACTTATTTACCTCAGTATTCGTAAAGACAGGCAATATGTCAAAAGTAGCTTCGTTTATCAAAGCTTCGAACTTTACACTTATATCAAAGATAATCTGGGCATCCAGTGTGCCTTGGGAAAATAAAACATTTGTTGGTGAAGTTGCTCGGCCAAACAATGCTACGCTCATTTCTTCATCCAACAGGGAGCTGCAAGCTGGAGTTTTGGCAGTGTGACGAACCGGGTCCTATAGGCACTATAGGTTAGCTGTTTCCAAGGGACAAACCTTAGAGTGGTTCTATAGTTTATGTTGGCGGAGCGATCAGGTCGGTAACGGGCAATCTTATCACCAGCTAGTAATACGAATAAGAGTAAATGTCTATATTCTAATTTAATTATATTATAAACGCTGTAATAATAACTGGCTATCTAAGTATTCTAATAAGTAATATAAAGTAAACTTATATACCTAGTTAGCTGGGCTAGATCATTTGCAAAGGTTAATAATCCTGTCGTAGATTATCTCGTAGTTCTAATAATCTATTTATGGATTATTAGATTATTATAATAATCTAATAATCCGTTCCTGATTGGTTAGTCGGTCCGTTATTTATCCGGGACCGACTACCCTGTAGGCCTATTATCGCGACTATAAGAGCCAGGTCGTAATACAATATCCCCCTCCTATTGGTCTTATCCTTAAGACCTTGCTTATTCAGGTATAAGTAGCTTATCCCTACTTCGTAGTATATCCCTTACTACTTATTCTTTATTTCTTCTTACGCATACTAACTTACTTAATAATAATAGATGAAGTATCTAAGAGCGTTTATCTAAAGACTAAAAAACGCAAGAGTTTTTTTTATTCTGTAGTTAGAAACGCTTTAGCTATAGATAAGCATTATTCTTATTATATATTATATAGTTATAAGAAGTGTCTTTTATCTCCTTCTAACTTATTATATTACACTAAATATGTTTATTTAAATAAATCGTATTGCAATATTTATAGTTTATCCTCTAAGCAGTTAAAACGTATCGCTGCTTATTATTTCTGCTTAAAAGATAAGCTTAAGGTAGCCGAAGAGGAGCGTTATACTGCTAATGCAAAAGTTAAACGTCTTTGTAAAAAGAAGAAACGTTGGTATAAAAAAATGCGTTATACCGTTACGCAGGGTATTACCGATTTAGATAAGTTAAATAGGGTTAAGCGCAAGGAGGCGGAGGCCGCTTGTTAAGTTGCTATAATACAGTTAGCAGAGGGTTTTTCCGGGGTTATCCCTGCTTTTTTAGAGTTAGTAGATTATTTAAGGATATTAGTAATAGATCCTAAGTTAGTATAATCCTTAGACTTTAATAAAGTTTTTCTACTAGCGCTATTAAGTTCTTAAAATACTTAATAAGTTCCTATATTTCTTCTTTTTCTTCCCCTTTTTCCTATTATACCCTATAGCGTCGTTTACCGTCTTTTCCTATTTTTATTACATTAATGTCTTTTACTTTATATTCTTCTTCTTCTCCTTCGATAATAATTTTATCCTAGATAAATCTTCTAGTTTCTTTATTAATTTATGCTTTTTCTAGCAGTAAGATATAGAATATTAAATATATATATTTTCCTTATTTTTCCTATTATTCTAGAAGTTCAAGTTTATAGTTTACTTCTCTGATTTTTCTTAAAATCTTATAAGGTCTAAGTTTTTTAAAATTAAGTTTATTACTTAGCTTATTTATTTTAATATTTACTTACTTATTTCCTCGTGTATATTAGTAGAGCCAGACTATGTCCCCTTCCTAAAGGGTTAGTCCTCTAATCCTATTTTTATTTATATATTTAATTATCCTTTATTAAACGAATTTAAGTTATTATTGCAGTTTATTATATAATTTAATTATATCTTCTGCCTTAATTATAGCTTTTTTAATATTTTCCCCTTACCTTAGCAGTTAGTAAGCTTTAAGTTTAAATCTATAGTTTAGGAAAAACAGTAATTTCCTAGTTAATTTAGATTTTATACTATTATATATAAGTTATATAACGGAGAGGAGTTCTACCTAGTCGTTTTACTTAAAATTAATATAATAGCGTAAATAGGTCTTAATTATTTAGTTAATCCTTTCCGTCTGTCCGTCTGTCTATAGGTAGTAGGCTGTGCTGGCCTTATAATTTATTCCTAGTCTAGCTGTAAGTGCTTTCTAGAATTTAAATATAAATATATTTCCTCTATTAAAGATTATATCTCCTGGCAGTCTATGGTTGCTTATAACGTATCTTATTATCACGTAGGCTAATTCTTCTACATTACTGGCTTCCTTAAATAATATAAAGTAGGCTATTTTCGTAAGTCTATTAACTACTACAAAGATACTATCGTAGAGTACCTTTGTAACTGGTTCTCTTAAAGGAGGTAGTTTAGTAATTAGGTTAAATAAGATCGATTCCTATAGTCGTTATAGTATAGGTAGCAGTTATAGCTGTCTATAGGGTTTATACTTAAAGCTTTTAGCTCATCTATATATTATATATTCTAATATAACCTTCTATACCTATTTCTTAATACCTTTAAATTTAAAGTATTATACAATTTACTATATAGTTTTTCTAATTCTACGGTGTTCGTTAAGCTTATATACATAGACTAATTTTACTACTTTACTTCGTAAGTCTTCTAGTACCTAGATAAGTCTATCTAGTATTAGGTATCCAGTATCTATAGAAACATCTTCTAGGTATTATTTATTTTCCTAGTTTTTAACGTATTCCTTTATATTGTTAATAATCAGGTTGTCTATCTTAATTTAGTATAAGGTGTTAATTAATCGGATAATTAAGTCTCTGTACTAGTTTTTCTTTAGTATTTATACCTTAACTTCCGGTATTTTTTAAAAGTAATCTAAGCGTCTGCTAAGTACATTAGCGTATCCGTTATCTATTCCGCTATAGTATTTAATAATAAGCTTAAATTCGGAGAGTTACTTATAGTACTTAACTTATCTACGGAATAGTTCTTATATCGTTATAAAGTAAGTAATATTCCAGTAGTCCGTAAGGATTATTACTAAAAATCAGCTTCCTTTACAGTAGTATCTCTAATGCTGTTTACTAAGTACTTAATATATAGCTATAAACTCTTTATTATAAATAGAATATTTAAGTTTTAGTTTATGTAGTTTCTTAGAAAAATAAGCAATAGGCTTAAGCCTCTTTTTCTTTATATTGTCTAGTTAACTAAGTACTCCCCCGATTATATAATCTAAGGCATTAGTTTTAATTATAATAGGTTTATTTAGGTTAAATATTATAAATACTAGTGTACTTATAAGAGCTTATTTAAGGCATTTAAAGGCTATTAAAGCATCTTATATTAATTTAAATTTAACGTCTTTCTTTATTAAGTTCGTAAGTAATATAGCAATTTTTAAGAAATCCTTAATAAAACGTCGGTAGTAATTAGTAAGTCCTAAAAAGCTTTATACTTACTTAACATTTTATAGCAGTTTTTAATTATTAATCGCCTTAAGTTTCTTAGGGTTTATTTAGACTCTGCCTAAGGTAATAATATATCTTAAGAATATAACCTTTTACATATAAAAGTTATATTTCTTAGGTTCCACCAGGAGTTTATTATCTTAAAGTATTTATAATACCTTCTTAACGTATTCCTTATATTCTTCTAAGTTCTTAGAATAGATAAGGATATCGTTAAGGTATATAATAATAAAATAATCTACGTAGTCTTATAGTACGTAGTTAATTATTTTCTAAAAAAATACTAAGGCGTTCGTAAATCCAAAAGGTATTACCTAATATTTATAAAGTCTATATCTTATGCAGAAGGCGGTTTTCTATTTATCGCCTTTCTTAATCTAAATAAGGTTATATACTTTTTTAAGATCTAATAAAGTAAAGATCTTAGCTCCTATAAGCCGGTCTTTAATTTCTAAAATCAGTAGTAGTAGTATAATATCTTTTTTAGTTATTATATTTAATTATTAGTAATCTATAATAAGTTAAAGTTTACCGTTCTTTTTAGGTATAAATATAACTGGATATCCTGCTAAGGATTTAGAAGGTCTAATATAGCCCTTCTTTAGCTAGTCCCTAATCTATTTATTAAGTATTTTAAGCTTAGTAGCGCTTAGGTTATAAATCTTATTAAACGTTAGTACTTTATTATTTATAAGTTTAATCTTATAATCCTATTAACTATATTCTAGTAGTTTAGTATTTAGTTCTTTATTAAAGACTAGTATATACTAGAGGTCTGTTAGTACGTTCTTTAAACATTCCGGTGTCTGTTAGTTTTAGTAATATAGTTCCTTAATCTTTTATATAATTAAGTTTAAAAATCTAAGCTATTTCTTTTTAGGTTTTTTAATATATTTAATTATTCTTAGGAGCTTTTTTAGCTCCTTAAATTATACTTGTTTTATAACTTTTCTTTTTTCCGTATATTTTTATATTTCTTTATTTAATACAGGGGTTACTAATCCTATCGTCGGGGATATTATAGCATTCTATTAATCCTCCTAATTTAATTATAGTATATCTCTAAAATTAATTAATTTAAGGCAAGTTTACTATCTTACCTAGCCTTTAATTTAATTAATATTAGGGTTACGTAACTTAAGCTAATTGTATTTTAAGAGTATATTATATTCTATAATATTTATAATATTAAAACTAAATATATCTTTAATTTTACTAAACTAAATCTTAAGAAGATTAGTCTTACGGTTAATAATTCCATTATTATAGGTAAATTATTATTTCTTAATGCTTATAAAAGTATATAGTTTCTCCTTCTTACGGTTGTTTAACTATAGGCGGTTAACTAGTTAAGGCGTAATGTAGCTTATCGTAGCTCCGGAGTCTATATAGACTGTAATCGGATGTCCTTCTAAGGTACCTGGTACTTAGAATTTTCGTAGTTTCTTTCCTTCTGTAAGGGTATTTAAGTTATAGTAGGTCGCATTATTAGCACCATCGTAATAATTATTACCGTAAGGGTTAATATTAATATCGTCTAGGTCTAAGGTAATCCATCCTGGTTCTTTATTTTAAATATTATAGCGTTCGCACTAGATATATCCCAGCTTAGGTATATATCTAGTAGTAAGCTTATAGTATTTCCAAAGGTTATTCTAGTTAATTCCTTATAGCTTATCGTTATTACTATACTTTATAAG